TTATTTTCTTTAGGCATAAGGGTCAAATAGCCCCTTTACTACTCAAGAAAATTCAATTAGCACCTTGAACTAAAAAGACATTCAATTAATTACTACAAGTCTTTATAAAATTTCAATTTTTATTTTTTTTCAGATTTATATGGATACTAATTTAATGGTAAAATAAAACTTTGTATTTTGAATTCTAATGCTCTATATCTTTATAAAAACAATAAAAAAATTGTATCTAAATACCTAACATTTATTATTATTATTATTTTGAATGTATCTATCATATGATTATCTATCTATTTTGTTTTGCACTGGGACTTGAACTCACAACCTCTTATTGGTGCCATTGAACCATAAGGTCGTTGGCATTTTACCATTAAATTAGTATAAATATAAACCTACAAAAAATGAAAATTGAATTTAAAAAAAAAAAAAAAAAAACTTGTAGTAGTTAATTGAAAACTTTTTCAGTTTAGGGTGCTAATTGAACTTTGAGTAGTAAAAGAGGCTATTTGACCATTATGCTTTTTCTTTATATATGCTAGCAAAGATTATATTGAGTGAAATCAAAAGAAATTAAGGCTTAATTGCAAGTTGAAAATATGAATTTTAGATCTTTATCCGCGAAACGATTCAGGGTTAATATATAAATGTAATACTTTATACTAACAAATATAATAAAGTTTGTTACTTATAATAGAATTTGTACTACTGCAAACAATACACTTACAGCACGTTTGGTTCACGGAATGAATTTTGAGGTAATAGGAATGTTATTCCATAAGGAATAGAATAGGCAAGGAATAGAATAGGATTTGTATTCTATTGTTTGGTTCGCTGAAGGAATAGACTTTAGGAATTATATTACAGTGTTTGGTTGATTTAAGGAATAGAAATGAAATATGTTTTAAAAGACATAAATACCCTTATAAAAATATGTGATGGTGGCGATGGTGACGATGGTGATGGTGGTGGTGGCGGTGGTGGTGGCGGTGGTGGTGTTGACGGTGACGGTTGTGGCAGTGGTGGTGGGGGCAGCGACGGTTGTGGCGGTGGTGGTAGTGGTGGTGGTGGTGCTGCTGCTGTGTGGTGGTTCTGGTGGCGGTGGCGGCGGCGGCGGCGATGGTGGTGGCAGTGGCGGTGGTGGTGATGCTGGTGGCGGCGGTGGCGGTGGTGGTAGTGGTGGTGGCGGCGGCGGCAGTGGTGGGGGCGGGGGCGGTGGTGGGGACGGTGACGGTTGTGGCGATGGTGGTGGTGGCGGCGGCGGCGATGGTGGTGGTGGTGGCGGCGGCGGTGATGGTGCGGTGGTGGCGGCGGCGACGATGGTGGTGATGGTGACGACGACGATGGTGGTGGTGGCGGCGGCGGTGATGGTGGTGGCGGCGACGACGGTGGTGAAATAGGATAAATTTATATATATGATAAAAAAAATTAGGTTAAAGAAAGGGGTAAAAAAGGAAATAAATTCTAAAATCTATTCCTGAGCGTTCAGTAATAGGCTAATACCAGGGGGGCCCTAGTAATAGCTATTACCTTATTTGAGGTAATAGGCTATTACCAGGAATATTATTCTTGGTAATAGAAATGGTTACCAAACAACGGAATAGGCCTATTACTGGGAATGCTATGCCATTCCCGGCCTATTCCGTGAACCAAACGGGCCATTAGTTCTCACGTTAGGTGTTGTGTTTAGGGTTTCCCTAACTTCTGGTTTTAGGGTTTTTGGCACGTGGGTAGCATGCGATGAGTAGTTGTTTTCATAGCTTAATTAATTAGTTTCTCTGTGGATTTGTTTACATTTCTGCAAGTTGCTCTGTTGGTAGTGGGAGGTTAGTTAATTTGTCAGTTTGTTGCGGTGACCGGTCATGGACAATTTAACATCACGGTGGTCGGAAATTACGTTAGTGGATTAGGAGACGGGATATGACCATATGAGGCGATGCGTAGGGGTCAGCATGTATGGGTTGTCGTTGGCATATTTCTGACAAATAGTTTGAAGCTATGAGGAATGTTAGTATGGCGTCCGAACATAGTGAGGAGAAAGTGTCTAATCATATAGCTGCTTGTGGGGGAGAATTCCGGGATAACCCGGGTTCGATTCCCACAAGTGACGATTCCCTTTGGGCCAGCTTCTGTGCCTCCCGGAGCGAACCGGGTGGACCTGGACCGTTAAACGGACAGAGAAAGACCTGAACCACAGTGTGGTTTATACCAAAAATATAGCTGCCTATAATAATAAATTTGTGTCTAGGGTGGGCAAATTAAAGAGATCTTGTTGAAGGGGGTGACTGGCTCGCTCAAGTCATGCCTATGTTTGCAATGAGTGTCTTTCTTATGCCTAAATCCTTTTGTGAAGTGAGGCATTAGAGCCAACGATGAATATAATAGATTTTGGTGGAAAGGTGGGGATGTGGTGTGCATTAGCTAGGTAGCTAGCTTGGGATAAGCTCCATATTATTCCTAAAAAAATATGGTGGATTGGGTTTTTGGTAGTTGCATTGCGTCATTGCTAGGGATTGGAAACAAGGTTAGAGACGATTAACTAACCTGAATTCATTGCTCTCTCGTATCATATATGCATACAAAAGGGCTGATTGCAACAGGGGTTTGGGTGAGAATTGGAAATTTTAGGAATACCTTGGTTTAGAGCAATCCTTGGTTGATGTATATGGATGTCAATTGGGTCAGTCCACTAGGTTTTGGGCTAGTCCTATAGGGTTGTTGAGTTTATTGGATTGGGTTAAATGATTTTGTTTTGTTTTTATTTAGTGTTGGGTTAACCCTACTCTAAACTAGGAACTATCGGGCTTATCCATCGGACTAAATCAATAAACTAAAATTGAAAAATGCGAGTGAATATCCACATTCAGTGGAGCGGGATAAGCTTTAATAAAATTATTTATTTCATCCAAAATAAGTTAAATTTAATAATTAATTCCAATTCAAATCATTATTTTCAAATTTCAATTCAAAAAACATAATCAAGCATTAAGAATTAAACCTAAATAAAAGTAAATGAAATAAAGATTTAAAATATAAATAAAAGAAATTACTTGAAGAGTTGCAGTTGGCGATCGTTGTTGTCTGCAGTCCGCAGCCCGCAAGTAGTCCGATCCGTCGTTAGCAATCTACATTGTCGCTTCGCAGGTCATCGGTAGTGAGGAATTGAGCAGTGCCGACAGAAATGAAATAGGAGAGGTTTGACCGCAACACACTACGCTTTTTTCATTGTTTCGTGGAAGGGAAGAAAAAAACTGTGCACACAAGAGTGGCTAATTAAAGTGGCACCTCCAAGTTTTGTGGAGAAGAAAAAAAAAATTCACATGTACTAGAGCAGCCAAGAGAGTGCTTATGAGTTATGAGGAAAAGGAAAAAAAAAAACAAAACAAAACAAAAAACAAAGAAAAAAACCACACACACATAAGTAGCCAAACGCGTGCGTGCAATATCCATGTATACACGTGCATTGCACGCGTCTATTGGGCTAGTGGAGTTGTCACTTGCTCTACTTTTAAATATTATAATTATTTTCAAAATAAAATTTTTCTTACAAAAAACTCACTCAAAACCCCTATCAATGAGAATGTCGTAGACTCATCCAACTCAACGCAACAGAAGAGTGTAAAAAAATAGAAATTACTCACTCACCCTACTCACTCTTACAAAGCTCTAAAGAATTTCCGTTCTTCTAAGCTTCTAGTCTCCTCACATATATTCTTCTTCTCGTCTATTCCAGACACTACTGATTAGCTTATTAAATTCGACTTTTTCAAAATACAAAATATTATGATCTAAATTAATTATCTGGGCACACTTTTCAAGATAATTCAATTATTGTGGTACTGTGTTACGATTTATACTTTACTTGACACGTCAAGTGCCACTTATATTGATGCCTCAAATACCCAACATACTAAACTTTATGCTTTGACTGTTGCACCCACTACTGACTATCTTATTAAATTGGACTTATTAACTTGATTGATATCTAATATTTTATCAAATATATATTATACAAATTTATCAAATATATATTAGCAAGGTAAAAAATGTTATTTTTTTATAATTAATATTTTATTATAACTAATGTACGAACATTGTCATTTTATCCCTTTACATAATGTATATATATGAGATATAAGTACAATTATTTTATCATTTTTATAATTAAAATTAAAGCATAAATAAATAATAGTACTTTATCAGATTTTAAATTTATGATGATTTAATATAAAAAGTTTAAAAATATATGTATTTTCATTTTATTTTTTAATTTGATCCATACATTTTGAATTTTTATATAATTTCAATCATAATGAAGTATTTGTTTCCCAATAAATTCAATGTAAAAAAAAAAAATCATATTGTACAATACATATTTAATGAAATATTAGCACTTGAGCGCAATCTCGCTCTCGTGTGTCCGTTGATATCAAGTCAATTGTTACGTCAAAGCTATTTAGGTAGAACGAGAGTAGGTACAAAAACAAATATTTGTTTTTCATTATATACTATTTAAAAAAATCAAATTGTACAATACATATTTAATGAAATATTATATCAAGCCATTTGTTATGTCAATGTTGCTCATGCAAGTGCAACAATCAAATTCAGAAAATTCAACGGGTTCAACGCGGGTAAGTACAAAAATAAAATTAATGGTATTTTAACGTGTCATATAAAATAGTACCCATAACATATCACTTGAGGTATCTTGAAAATTCGTGCCCTATAATTATTTGTGAACCAAAGTATTTTGAAAAAGACTGTATTTTAAATTGAAAGATTATAACAATAGACATTGAATGATTCAACCAATACTTTAATCGGAAGCGCTAAAATACTAACCTGATCCATGAGATATTGATCAAGTCTTTAGCTCTTTCTTCTTCCAAGTTTCTTTCTGCAGGTTTACAGAGTGTTTCCCTTTTCCCTCAATCTTTCACGTTTAGTTTTCAAAGTGATAGGATAGAAAATAGTTTATGGCCCTTATATATTACCTGTTAAACCATAACAGCCATTCCAATATTAAATATTGGAATTATGGCAATAATGGGCCATAAACCCATACCATTAAATAGGCTTAATAGCCTCATTGAAAGCCAGAGAGATTGGAATAATAAAACATTGATCTGTTACATATTTTATTCCCATTACCTATCACAATGGATTTTAATTGTCCAAGCCACTTAATACATGGGCCACAATAACATTAGAATAAAATATTCTAACATTCTCACACTTGGCCCATGTGTATCATTGATGGACTAGGATAATTTTAATTTGCGAAATATCCCAAAAGATTAATGAACTTTTACTTAAATTAAAGTTAGCTAGATCATGACGATCGCACGTTATTTGAACAACATGTTCCCTTCCATGCATCATAGGTCAACTTTAATTTCAATACTGACAACCATGAGTGCAAACAGAGATATAACATTAATTGAATTCAATTAAGTCAATATATATATATATATATATATATATATATATATATATATATATATATATATATAACATAAAACTGAAAATAAACTTACAATAATAACAAGGCTCTCTCTAAAATTTCCATACTCTCCACATGATAGGAGAAGACCTTCGATGTTAAACCTTTGGTCAAAGGATCAGCAACCATAAGTTCAGTTTTGATATGCCAAAGATACTATCTGTTTCTATACTTCTTCTTTAATTGACAAGTATTTTAATTCCATATGCTTAGCACCTTTAGAGTACTTGTCATTCTTGGAGAAGAACACCGCTGCGAAGTTGTCACAATAAATTCTCAAAGGCCTAGAAATACTATCAACTACTCTAAGCCCCGAGATCAAATTTCGTAAGCACAGTCCATGATTTGTGGCTTCAAAGCATGCCACAAATTCTGCATCCATAGTGGAAGTAACGATGACTGACAGCTTCACACTTTTCCATGAAACTGCTCCTCCCGCAAATAGGAACAAATAACCAAATGTAGATTTTCTCGTATCTACACAACCAACATAGTATTAATCAGAATAGCCGACCACTTCAAGTGGATCTGACTTCCTATATGTAAGCATGTAATCTTTTGTGCCTTGTAGATATCTTAAAACCTTATCCGCATCCTTTCAGTTTTCTATGCTAGGATTACTTTGATATCGACCCAACATACCAACAACAAAGCTGATGTCTGGCCAAGTTCAAGTATGTAAATATCCCAAACTTCCAACCACTGTTGCATAAGGTATACCTTTCATTTGCTTTTGCTCAAGTTCATTTATGGGACATTGAGTTAAACTTCATTCGTCTCCTTTCTGCATTGGAACCACTCCTGGAGAGCATTTGTCGATCTTAAATCTTTCCAAGATCTTGTTAATGTATCATTTTTGAGACAATCCTAATAGTCCTTGTGTTCTATCTCGAATATTTCTATTCCAGTCACATAGGATGCCTCACCCATATCCTTAATTTCAAAGGTCTTGAAAAGAAATACTTTAACATCACGCAACATGGCCTTATCATTTGCAGCAAGTAAAATGTCATCAACATATAAGACCAAAATAGCAAACTTAGTCCCACTAACTTTCATGTAGATACACCGATCAACAATATTTTCCACAAAACCATAAGATGTAATAATACTTTCAAATTTAATGTACCACTATCGGGAAACTTGCTTAAGTCCATATATTGACTTTTCTAATTTACATACCAAGTGTTCATTTCTTGTGGTCAAAAACCCTTCTGGTTGGTCCATATATACTTCTTCCTCTAAATCACCATTTAGAAAGACGGTCTTAACATCCATTTGGTGAAACTCTAAACCGTAATGAGCCACCAATGCTAAAACAATTCTTAATGAGTCCTTTTTTGAAACTGTGGAAAATGTCTCCTTATAGTCGATGTCACTTTTCTGAGTATAACCCTTGGCAACAAGTCTAGCTTTATACCTTTCGATATTACTGTTAGAGTCTCGTTTGGTCTTAAAGACCCATTTGCACCCGACTCTTCTTGAATTTTCAGGTAATTCTACAAGGTTAACTTTGTTGACCTTCATAGATTTCAACTCATCTTTCATAGCATCTAACCATCTTTCATAACTGTTACTTTCAATGGCTTGTTTGAAAGAAACCGGATCATTATCAATGCTCAAATCATTTTCATGTTCAGCAAAATAGATCACGTAGTCATTAGAAATTGCAGGCTTCTTTTCCCTTGTAGAACGCCTTAATGTCATTTATTCTCGTGGTTCATTGATTTCTTGCTGAATTGTGATTGATTCATTTTCATTGGTCACAATATCCTCAAGTGGGTTTAGGACATTCTCATGTTGTTCCGGTGTAATAGAGGATGACAATGTGATAACCGAAACTACATCTTGAAAATAATTTTAACGTGGAGAGGTTTCAACATGAATTTCTCGAATGTCCACCTTACGTGGTTCTGTGCTCCCACTATGCAACCATAATATGCATATATATAATTTCAATACACAATTTAATCCATATATACACGATTGAATTTTACGCATATATATACATAATTTTCAAAACAAAAAATTGGTAAATCATTATACCTAACCTTGCTCTTGATACCAAATGAAATACTATAACAATAGGCATTGAATGATTCAACCAATACTTTAATCGGAAGCGTTAAAATACTAACTTGATTCCATGAGAGATTTATGAAGCATTTAGCTCTTTCGTCTTCCCAATTCCTTTCTGCAGGTCTACAAAGTGTTTCTCTTTTCCCGCTAGTCTTTCACGTTTAGTTTTCAAATTGATAGGATAGAAAATAATTTATGGCCCTTATATATTGCCTGCTAAACCATAACAGTCATTTCAATATTAAATATTGGAATTATGGCAATAATGGGTCATAAACCCATACCATTAAATAGGCTTAATAACCTCATTGAATGTCAGAGAAAGGGGAATAATAACCCCTTGATCTGTTACATATTTTATTCATATTACCTATCACAATGAAATTTTAATTGTCAAGACCACTTAATACATGGGCCATAATAACATTAGAATAAAATATTCTAACATAAATATCAATTCTCCATATTATACATTGATCAAACGTTGACCATTTGTACTATTATACAAAAGCTTTAAAACCTTGGAAAACACTACAAACCGCATATGATAAAATGCACAGAGGTCGCACGTGAGAACAAAGACATACAGGGTGCCCAGAAAAAAACTCACAGGCTAAATAAATAGTTAAGCAACGCGGATGCCAAAAGCTAAATATACTTTCATTTTATTTTTGAATTTGATCCATACATTTTGAATATTTATATAATTTCAACCATATTCAAGTATTTGTTTCACAATAAATATTATTTTAAAAATATCAAATTGTACAATACATATTTAATGAAATATTATATATCAAGCCAGTTGTTACGTCAAAGCTACTATTCGGCGGGTTGAGCGCGAGTAGGCACAAAAGTAAAAAACATTAAATCTGGCGGGTTGAATGAAGGTAGCTATAAAAGTCAAAACATGAAATCCGATGGGTTGAGCGCGAGTATATACAAAAGTGAAAACATGAAATTCGGCGGGTTGAGCGCGAGTATGTACAAAAGTGAAAAACATGAAATCCAGCTGGTTGAGCGGGGTATGTACAAAAAGTGAAAAATATGAAATCCGGCGAGTTGATCGCGGGTAGGTACAAAAGTGAAAACATGAAATCCGACGAGTTGAGCGCGGGTAGGTACAAAAGTGAAACACATGAAATCTGACGGGTTAAGCGTGGGTACGTACAAAAGTAAAAAGCATAAAATCTGACAGGTCGAACGCGAGTAGGTACAAAAGTAAAAAACATTAAATCTAATATGACAAGCATATGCGCTGGCAACTTTAATGACATTTAATGTGTCATGTAAAATAGTAACCATAACATAACACTCGAGCTATTTTAAAAATTCGTGCCATATAATTATTTGTAAACCAAACATTTAGGGCGTCCTCAATAGTGAGGATTTCGGTGTGGGTTTTGAGAAGTTTTTGTAAGTGTGATTAGGAAAAAGAAAATGAGAGTGAAGAGGAAAAAAGAAAAAAAAAACAAAATAAAACTGATTTCAGAAAGAAAGAAAAAAAAAGTTGTAAGTACTAACAGAGGGTCCCACTTTTGCTGTAACTGTGAGGAGTTAATGGTGCAAAATCTCCTTTGGAGCAGAGGGTCCCACTTTTATACTGCAAAATCTCTTATTTTGCAGGAGGAACTCACCTTCAAAAGTTTGATTTTCCCATTACCAAAAATCCATCACCATTAGATTTACTGTTTGAAAAGTTTAGAATGATCCCCCTATTGAGGCTGCCGTTAGTATTTCAAGAATGACTTAGGGTAAATATCAATTCTCTATATGACTATATTAACATTGATCTACCAAGACTATGTGGTCTAATGGTACCCGGGTTGAACTTCCATTTGGAAGGTTGTAAGTTTGAGCCTCAGTGGAGGCGTTATTGGTTCTTTGTGTTTCAGTAGGTTGAGAAAGTAAATGATCAGATACTACATTGTAATAGAGCCAGTAACATGTTGATCATTTGTACTATTACTCTATTATTTCTATAGTAAAAAATATATATATTTTTTTAACAGTTAGGGCATCCCCAATACAAGGATTTTGCACATATTTTAATAAATCTTTGGTGAGGTGGAGGAGAGAAGTATGAGAGAGAAAGGATTAGAGATAGTCCTGCAAGGAGGGGATTTTATCAGAAATACTGGACCCACAATTTTTCTTGTAACGTGCGCAAAGCTCGTGTGCATTGCCATAAAGGCGCTCAGCGGGCGCGTTAATGACAGTGCTTAACTTTATTTATTTAGTTTTTTTTTTTTTTTTTTCGAAATCAACATTTGTTTTTTTCTTTCTTTCTTTTTCTCTCTTTTTATTATATTCTCTTTCCTAATCACACCTAAAAAAATATCTCAAAATCCCCACCAAAATTCCCAGTACTGAGGATGCGTAAAAGCAACCTAAAAATTTGAAATAATTCATGAGCTAACCGTACAGTGGTGTACCACACTACCCTATTAAATCTATGTTTCCTATTATATCCTCCGAAAATATACAGCAAAGAGCTTGGTAGTGTCTTTACTAGAAGGCCAAAATGGTAATTTACGTTCCTCCCTATAGCCATGTCATTGGTGCCGTCGCCCTACTTACAAACATCATCCCCGTTTTACCCTCAAATTGAAATACATTTATAGCGAGACCACTGACCCGCTTTTGTCATTTCACATTCCGCAACTTTTTCCCGTTTACTAATGTGCAACCAAAGATCCCACACCAAAAAATAAATAAAATAAAAAATAAAAAATATAATAGTAATAAAATCCCACGTCAGTTGTTAGGTAGTGGACTATAAAACTAGTATGTGTGAAAAATGAAACTAAAAAATATAAGATATTATTGTCAAATGAAACTGTAATATAATTAAAATGATATTGTAATATTGTTATAATGAAACTAATGTGCATGAAAAATGAAACTAAAATTCAGAACAATACAATAACATATATTGTCAAATGACCTGGAGTACAATTAAAATAATACTTCAACACTATTATAATTAAACTAGTGTGTAAAAAAATGAAATAATAAAATAAAACTCATGCAATAATGTATATTATCAAATGAAATTGTCATTTGATAATATACATTATTAAATATTAAATTGTATAGTTATACTTACATTTTTAATAAAACTAATTCTAGCTGAAGAACTCAAGTATGTTTTTGGCCCTGTTTGGTAAAATGGCTGTTAGCTGATAGCTGTTTGCTGTTAGCTGATTGTGTTAATTATAGGGTATAAATAGTTGATAACATTAGCTGATTGTAGAAAAGTGTTTGGTAAATTAGCTGTTTGCTGATAGCTGTTTGGTATAATTTCTTTTTCTCAAAAAGCTAATTGAAAAAGTTGCTAGGAGTAGCTTTTTTAATTTGAGCCTTTTGGAGTTGCAAAAAGCTAATTAACCAAACATTTATATTGATATTTTAACTAAATCAAACAATTAATAGTGGTCAAATAAGCCAAAATTGGCCTATAGGCCAATTTTTTATCAAACAGGGCCTATATGTTTCCACAACTATTACTTTCTTTGCTAATTTAGAGGATAAATGTCAAAAATTTAATTGGTAAATTTGTTAAATTAATAATAATTCGTGCATCGCACGAGACAATTACTAGTAATGTATATTATCAAATGAAATTATAGTAGAACTAAAATGATGTTTTAGAAGTACTATAATAAAATTAGTGTAGAGAAAAAAATATATTATCTTACCATGATTTACATCATCACAAATGCTCTATCGAGTCGGAGTGTGGGGCCTCTTAAGGTTGGGGTTCAATCTTTTGGAAGAATATCTAAAAATATAATAAGTGTGAATAAAAGTTATATTCCTGATTTATGTCCATTTTTTTCGTTAAGTTTTTTTTTTGTACATTATGCTATAAAGGTTGTACATTAAAATATTTTGGACAAACATACTCATACCGTTATAAAAATGATTTACATTATTATTATTATTATTATTTAGAATAATTTAAATATCTAAAATTTAAATAAATTTAAAATTTTAATATAATATATTAATATTGAGCACCTATTTTTTACGCATCGCGCATAAAAATACTAGTTATCAAATAAAACTGAAATATAATTAAAACGATACACTTTTTGTGAGTAAAATTTGCCCTAAAGTGCAACCAAAGATCCCACACTCACAGCCCGCACCTCGTCCAACGCAACGCTCCAAGTCTCCAACTGTATGTCTCAGAGCAACGAAAGTGCCCAAAAAGAAAAAAAATAAATATAAAAACTCTCACACTCTCTCCTACTCACTCTCGCAAAGCTCTGAAGAATTTCCGCTCTTCTGAGCTTCCGGTCTCCTCAAAGCATACTTTTCTTCTCGCCTCTTTCCGCCGCGGTTCCGCCATTTCTGGTTCTGTACAGCTCTCCCCATTTCTCTCACTTGCTCTAAACCCTCACTCGTACGAATTCCTGTTTATTTGTTCATTTGTTTATTTTACATTTCGCAGGATTTTATTTCACTGCCTTTTTGTCGGTTTTCCTTTTTGCCGTTTTTTTGGTTTTTTTAACTTCCATTTGACCCTATTGCAGGAGCGGTGTTGATTTGTGCGGTTCATTGTGTAATTTGTTTCGTTTGTTCTGAAGTTGGAACTAGGGTTTTTGGCGTGGTGGTTCTGTGGTTCGGTTCGGGGGTTTGGTTCCTCTGCATGTGAGTTTTGGTCGGGATTTTTTCAATGTTGTTTCTCCTTTTGTGTTTTGGTCAACGCTGTATGTTTGTTTAGCTCGGAAATCGTGCTAAAGAGAAATGATCGGGAATAGCTGCTTGTCATCTGTGTTTTCTCTGCTTTTATTGAGATGAATTTTACTAGAACTGTTAATGTGCGTGTGTTTATTCACTTCATCCTTCATTTTAGAACAGGTTTTAACCGTGTTATTGTTGTTCTTGTTATTGTTATTATATATTTGAAACATATGTGCCCTTTGAGATTTGGTACTTGTTTGCAGATGTTTTTTGTTGGTCATGGTTAATGTCAGTTTAGGGCCACTGCTCACAGGCATGCCCTATTTTTATTGTAAACTGTTTTAGTCAACAAATTGAAAAATGAAAAAAAAAAAGAAAAGAAAAAAGAAAAAACAACAAGAATAAGAAAAGCTTGTATATATTGACCCAAAGTGAAGATACTCAGTCCAGGATATCTAATTGCAAACAGATATGCAATGCATGCAATTTTAAAAGTTGCATGCCAAAAAAAATCAGCACTGATGATAAAATTTAAAGCAAAGGGTTTTACATAATTATGGCAATTAACTTCAAAATCACTTGTTCATTTTAGCTTATTATGTCATGTGATTATAGGTGTGCTTTTAAGCTTATTATGTGATTGTGTGATGTGATTAGTTTCTGTCCCTTCAGTTGTTGCTTTCATTAGGTAATATACAGTTTTAGATTTAAAAAAAGTTCAAAACACATCAGTGTTTAGGCTTTACTTGTGCCTTTGGTATTAAATTATTTTGCTAAAAAGGTAACATTTCTTATTTCTGAGAAAATGTTTGGGAAATTGAAAATGTGAGGTTAGGAGTAAGCTATTAAGCTGCATGGATGTTATTGCAATATTCTTATCCCATTATCGTCTAGTGTTGCATGGATTTGGGAAATGAGGAATGCAGATTAATTGTGTATGGTTCTGTTTGAACAAATTTTTTAACTGGAAATTCTGGAACCATAGATCCTAAAACACATAAACAAGATTAATACTATGAGTTGGAATGGCATCATTTTGTTCTTTTTGTCTGCCTTTGCATTTTATTTAGGGCATTTCCTTTAATTACAAAATGTGACTTTGTTGAAGAGGGCATTTCCTTTGCATTTTATTTGCTTTTGTATTTCCAGATTAGTTGATTTGTTCACAGTTGTAATATTTTATTCCTTTTTTGTTTTTGTTTTTGTTTTTGTTTTTTTTTGTTTTTTTTTTTTTTTGTTTTTTTCAGCTTTGGTGAATCGAAATGGAAGAGGGTACATCATTCGAAATATTGCCTGGGACGATAAAGGGTATTAGATTTGGCTTAGCTACTAAGCAAGAAATTGTAAGTAGTGTATCTGCATTATAATATAATGCTCCTACATCTGTAAGTTTTACAAAAATTATTCAAGTTAGTCCTTGACTTGAAAAGTAATTCAATACGCTGTGGATTTTGCCCAGGTCAAGTCCTCTATAAATGAGTTCCCCATAAATCATCCCAGTCAGCTCTTAAATCCTTTTCTTGGGCTTCCGCTTGAGGCAGGAAAATGTGAATCTTGTGGTACTGCTGAGCCAGGGCAATGTGAAGGTAAGCAAGAGTCTCTTCTTCATACCCTTTTTGATGTATTACTTTATCATGATAGCTGATAGGCTTTTAATTTCTTGTGCTGACATTTCAGGTCATTTTGGCTACATCGAATTGCCAATACCTATTTATCACCCTGACCATGTTAGTGAATTAAAGCGGATGTTGAGCTTATTGTGCTTAAAGTGCCTGAAATTAAAAAACAGGAAGGTATTTTATCTAACAATTGTCTCCATCTCTTGCTTGCTCATAGTAAGAAGTTGTTCTTTGTGTCAAGACTCTGCATAAATTGCTTGTTATTTTTTAGTTCATGTATTCCATGAATCCAAACAGTGTGTTCTTTTGACTTTCTCTATGTTCTATTACTCTTGGTTTATACCGAAACTCAATAGCATTTAAGTACTAATGCTGTTATTTTAATATCTATTCTTGGATTTATTGTGAGGATGAGCATCCATTTGATCTCTGATCCATGTGAATGCTTCAAATATATGTATTACATTGAGTGATGTCTGGTTTATACCTTATACCACCTTTAATGAATGTAATCTTTTGTGCTTGAAGCTTTAAAGCATTGAAAAAGGCCTTCCAGTTTTTATTAATGTTTATATATATGTTGTAACCACTGAGGTATCATCCATGTGACATGTAACTTGCATTAATTGCATCGGTTGTGTTTCTGATATTTATTTTCTCCTCTCCCTCCAAGATATCTGTCACTGCAAGGAGCTGATGATGTTTGAACTTCAACATCTGTAAATTTGAGCAATTGGTGTTGGTGAAATTTGCATTTGCTGCTTGGGTGGCACTATCTTTATACCACCTCTTAATGAACATCATCTTTTGTGCTTGAAGTTTTAAAACATTAGAAAAGGCCTTCCTGTTTTTATTAATGTTTATGCGTTTGTTTTAACTACTGAGGATCATACATGATACATGTGACATGTAACTTGCATTAATTGCATTGATCTTGTTTCTGATATTCATTTTTTCTTCTCTCCTTCCAAGATATATGTCACTGTAAGAAGCTGGTGATGTTTGAGCTTCAACATTTGTAAATTTGAGCATTTGTGTCAGTGAAATTTGCATTTGCTGCTGGGTGGCACTATCTTTGTGTTCTAACTTTCTCTGCTGATGTTTTTAGTTTCAGGTCAAGCATATTGGTGTTCTTGAAAGGATGCTGTCCTCATGTTGTGAGGTTAACAATTCACTCTCCCTATTTCTGAAGAATGCCATTTTTCAGTTTACTTCCTATCTATTAACTACTCCTAAATCCTAATTCTTTGCTCATCTATATTTTCTATGTTGATATGGATTTATGTAAAATTTTCATTGCCTGCTACTCTGCTTGTTTGATGTTATGTTTTCTCATCTGTTTTCAAGGAATAAAGTTACGTTTTTAAATTCCTGGTGTTTTACTCTAATTTTCAACAGTGGTCAATACCTTCCTTAGATTAATTATAACTTGTCTGCATAAGAATTTGAAGTAGTGGATAAATAAGCTTCTTTGTATTGGTGCATACGTTGAAATACTAGACTAATTACCATGAATGTAGTAAGCATTGTACTTTCATTCCAGGAAATTTCTAATATGTGGATGACCTGTCTTTGTGCTGGGAGCCCTGGGAATTATTTGGGATGTGGGTTTGTGAGAATCCAAATTTAGGGATTTCATTGTCTTTTTCATGATGAAAATGCCTTTGCATTCCACAGTTCCAAGTTTGTTTGGGATTTATTTTTCACATACATATAGCATCTTCAATGCTTAAATGCATTAAAAATTTGCTGTAGATCTTTCTCGTTCATATTTGGAAAAATCTATAGCATTGAATTCTCTTTCTCTCCTTTTTATTTTTTATTTTTATTTTTTAAATTTGATTTATTATTTATTTTTTGTTTACTTCAATTACATATTCTTGATAAAAAGTTTGAGGTGAAGTGGTAAGTTTAACATGAGCAGTATGATTCATAGCATAATAACCTCATTGTGGTATTTTGCTACAGGAAGTTTCACAAATATCAGTAAATGAAGTTAAAAATTCTGATGGTGCTTGTTACTTAGAGTTGAAGTTACCAAAGAATGCAACACTTGATGATGGCTTTTGGAGCTTCTTGGAGAGATATGGATATCGCTATGGTGATGGCTATTCTCGTCGGTTGCTTCCTCTTGAGGTCTGGCTTCTCAAACACCAATCACGTTTTAAAAAAAAAAATCTTTTTTTTTTTAAATAATTTTTTTTTATTTTAATAAATATGACTTCTTTTGCTTTAATTGCTTTTATGTTGATATTAATTAATTTATGGTAGCAGACACCTTATGCCATTTATGATGGATAATAATTTAATCTTCCCCTTGATCGTTTTGAATGTAGAAAACTTTGGAGTATGAGAGTAGTAATGTTATTCTATAGAAAAGTAAATGGTGAAGATTTTGGAATACTTTGATGCAGGTGGATTAAATTGATATCATAGAAAAGTATAGTGTTTCCTAGAATTCAAGTAGATATAATATATTGTTTGATACTTTATTCATTTAGAATATAACAAATAGGTAGATTCCACTTAGTATTCCAGCTGACTTGTATGGAACTCATATCTATGATGACAACATGTTGATCGAAGTCGCCTGGCTGCCCCTTCTGGCCATCTTTATGGAATGTGTTGTTCTATGTGAGTAGCTTTCTTCGGCCTTGAATAGTTATAAAAACAATTGGTATTTCTTATTAACTTATTAGAGTGCGAATACTTATAAAAAAAATCATTATGTGGTTCTAATGTTTGGTTCAAGAGTGATTTCACTGATTTGTATCACCTATCTTATTAATGTGGATGAACTCAAATAATGAATTGGCCTTCTGTTTTCTTGTTAAGTTTCTGTATACAGGAGGCATCCTGTTGTTGTGCTTTTGAATATGTTTTTAGTTTTACAGTGTAGAATAAAGCACGTTAGAAGACTCTGGTGCTTGAAACTTCTTGTTGTGATATGACTTACCATCATCTTGATTTTATTGTTTGCTTCTAATCTAATTGTACTTGCCTATTTTTTTCCCCGCAGGCAATGGAAATACTAAAAAGAATACCTGAAGACACCAGAAGAAAGCTTTCAGCTAAGGGATATTATCCACAAGCTGGTTATATCCTGGAATTCTTGCCTGTTCCACCAAACTGTCTGTCTGTGCCTGACATTTCTGATGGGATGAACATTATGTCATCAGTAAGGCATTTCTCTAGTCCTGATTTAATCTTGAGTCTTGTTATTTGCTTGCTATTAATTGTCCATTATATGTCTGTGATTAGGATCATTCAATTACAATGCTAAGAAAAGTCCTAAAACAAATAGAGAACATTAAAAGTTCAAGGTCTGGGACTCCAAACTTTGAGTCTCATGAAGTGGAAGCAAATGATTTACAGCTAGCAGTTGCACAGTATCTTGAGTTTAGGGGGACAGGAAAGGTATTCTGCTTTACTTTTGCATCTGTCTCTTGAATATGCTGATTGAGTGCCTTATCTCTTAACCTATAATTCCATTATTTGATTTGTTGCATATTTATGTGCAATAAATCAATTATCACTTAAATATGATGCTTTTATAACTTAGGGTTTACATATCAATTATCTGCTTCTATTCAACAACTGTGTTTATATTTTACCTCCATAAATTTTGTTTATTAGGCATCTCGTGATGTGGATAAACGTTATGGAGTTGGGAAAGAATCAAATGACACAACTACCAAGGCTTGGCTCGAGAAGATGAAAACATTATTTATTAGAAAGGGATCTGGATTTTCTTCTCGTAGTGTGATTACTGGTGATCCTTTTAAGGGGGTGGATGAAATTGGATTACCATTTGAGGTTGCCCAAAGAATCACTTTTGAAGAAAGAGTTAGTCTGCACAATGTGGCATACCTGCAGAAGTTAGTTGATGAAAAATTGTGCTTGACCTACAAGGATGGATCATCCTCATATTCTCTGAGTGAAGGATCCACATCGCACACCTTTTTGAGGCCTGGCCAGCTTATTCACAGGAGAATTATGGATGGGGATATTGTGTTTATCAATAGGCCACCAACTACACATAAGCATTCCTTGCAAGCTTTATCAGTATATGTACATGATGATCACACAGTCAAGATCAATCCGCTCATTTGTGGGCCCCTAAGTGCTGACTTTGATGGTGATTGCATACATCTGTTTTATCCCCAGTCTCTAGCTGCCAAAGCAGAGGTTTTGGAGCTCTTCTCTGTAGAGAAACAACTGTTGAGTTCACATACTGGTAATTTCAATTTGCAGATGGGCTGTGACTCTTTGTTGGCATTCAAACTAATGTTTGAAAATTACTTCTTCAGTAAAGCTTGTGCCCAACAACTGGCCATGTTTCTCCCAAGTACTTTACCTAAGCCTGCACTTGTAAAGTCACATATTTCTGTCCCTCATTGGACCACCTTTCAGATTTTGGAGACTGCTTTACCTAAGTGCTTTGACTGTTTAGGAGATAGATATACTATTAACAAAAGTGAGGTGTTAACAATTGACTATAGCAAGGAGACTGTGTCATCAATCCTCAATGATATTGTTTCTTCAATTTATTTTTCAAAGGGTCCAAAGGAGGTTATACAGTTCTTTAATGCATTGCAGCCTCTTTTGATGGAATATCTGTTTAAAGAAGGCTTTAGTATTGGTCTTGGGGACTTTTTCATTGCCAAAGCTGCTAGAGAGAAAATCCAGAGAAGCATTCAGGGTGAAGCAAAGTTGTTGAATAACTTGAGGTCATCTTACAATGAATATGTGGAGCTGCAATTGGAGCGTCTCCTGAGGGTTGAAAAAACCCCAGTCACAGCTTTTGCTCTACATTCATCAGCTATTGGCCATTTAATTGACCCTAAGAGTGAGTCTGCTCTTAACAAGGTTGTTCAACAAATTGGCTTTTTGGGGTTGCAAATGTCAGACCGAGGGAAATTCTACTCCAAGACACTTGTAAAGGACATGACTTTGCTATTCCGAAACAAGTATCCTTCTGCTGGTCATTATCCTTCCGAGGAATATGGCGTGGTGAGCAGCTGCCTCTTTAATGGTTTGGATCCATATCAGGAGATGGTTCACTCAATATCCAGTAGGGAAGTGATTGTCCGTTCAACAAGAGGCCTGACTGAACCTGGAACATTGTTCAAGAATCTGATGGCAATCCTCCGAGATGTTGTTATTTGTTATGACGGGACTGTGAGAAATGTATGTAGTAATTCCATTATTCAGTTTGAATATGGGGTTAACAATGAAAGCAAGTTTCAGAGTGAATTTGGTGCTGGTGAGCCTGTTGGAGTATTGGCTGCAACTGCTATGTCAAATCCCGCATACAAGGCAGTACTTGATTCATCTCCAAGCAGTAATTCCTCGTGGGAAATGATGAAGGTATTCTCTTAGGACATCTGATGGTTTGAGTACTGTCCTCTTTTCTTATTAAAATATGTTGTCATATGTATACCTGCTTTTCTACACCTCAGGAAATTCTGCTTTGTGGAGCCAGTTTCAAGAATGATCTATCTGATCGCCGTGTAATACTCTATCTAAATGATTGTGGATGTGGAAGGAAGTATTGCCGAGAAAGAGCAGCCTACCAAGTGAATAATCATTTGAGAAAAGTTTGTTTGAAGGATGCTGCTGTTGAATTCTTGATAGAGTATGCTTCTTATATCATTTTCTTGTTAGTTTTTTTTTTTTTTTTTTTTTTTTTTTTGAAAATTTCTTGTTAGTTATTAATGTTATTATTATTATTATTATTTCATATTTTCAAAGTATCTTGCTTAATTTAGTGTTGCTTGTTGCTCAATGGTCTTCAAATCTTGTATTGAGATGGTCATTTAATTTTTATTATTATCTTTAGTTTTCCTGTCATGATACATGTGATGCTGTTTTTGTGTATGTGTGTGTGTGTGTGTGTGTGTGTGTGTTGTTTTTTGAGTTCTATGGTATACAAAGATAAGCCTCCTGAAAGGGGATTCAATGCATTAAACTTTTATCATCTAAAAGAAAATATTGATGCTTCTTTCTTACAGATATGGAATACAACAAACTACATATGAGGTTCTTGGAGTGGGTGCTTACCTTGTTGGTCACATTCATTTGAACAAGGTTTAATCTTGTTATTTTAGTCTTTGCAATTGTTTTGGATTGTTTTGCTTGATATTTTCACATCCTTTTGGATTTTTGGTTTTTAGCAGAAACAACTTGAAAGTCAAGGTCTTGATCTCAATGAGATTCTTGAAAGATGCCAGGATAAACTTTATTCCCTCAAGAGGAAGAAAAAAATTGGTCTTTTGTTCAGAAGAATTGATTTATCAGTCAGGTTGCTTTCTTGAACTTGTGTTATCTTCTTGTAGAACATATTTACTTGTGATGCCATTATTTTCCCCACTTTTTATTTTATTTTGCTTTTAAAAATTTCTGAAATTATAATTCCATTCATATAATTTATATTTAAGTGGCTTTTGAACTGCCCAGACTGAAACCAGTATACAAATCCTCCAAATTAAACTATACAAACTTGAGCATACCTATGATGCCATTCAAAGAAATATCATTTTTGGGCAACTCTCAATAAGCCGCCCATACAAAAAAGGTATACTTGAAAAAAAAGAAAAGAAAATCAGAACTGTGAAAGGGATAAGTCAGCCTTTGAAGTTCTTACATTTCTTCTTGTTCTTAATGATGTTTCTTCTTGGTTCTTTTGAAATATTTGGAGATAATTTTTGAGCTAGACACTAGATACTTGTTCTTCTGTGCTCAATATCAATAAACTATTACATACCTTGTTTTCTTATTTGCTTCAGCATATTGCTCTTTTAACTTTGCTCCTTAGTGGTGTAATGTGTTGTAGAGTTACACTTGTAAAATTTGAAAATTCTGCTCCTTCCTAGTGTTCTCATTACAAGATACAGGTTTTTCTGGCATTCAAAGGATTTGTATGTTCAATATCAATAAATTATTAAGTACCTTGGTTTCTTCTTATTTGCTTCAGCTTATTACTTTTATTATCTTATATTTTGCTCTTTAGTGGTATAAAATGTGTTAAGAGTTACACTTACACATTTTGAAACATTCTGCTCCTTCCCAGTGCGTCTTGTTGTTTTAACCAAGGCAAAAGTACATCAAGAGAGATGCCATGTTTGAGATTCTCTTGGCCAATTGATTCAAGTGATGATCACTTAGAGCAAACTGCTCATCTTCTTGCTGACACAATTTGCCCAGTGCTGTTGGAAACTGTTATAAAAGGTATGGAATATGCATAGGTTAATTTATTTTTCTGGTGTTTATATTTATGCTGCTTCTTGTTTATTATATTTGACGATGTTTACATCTCTTCTCATTTGGCTATTGCTTTTTCCCCTAACTCATGATGAGGTTGCCATCCAAAAGAGAATAAGTTACTTCTCATTCAAGGCACCGACAACATTTTTCTAGGATTAAATATATTAACTTATTCTCTTTTGGATGTCATGTGTATCTCTCTACCTCTTATGATTTTCCTTTGGAAGTTACTTCGTTTAACATTGTTACCTGTTGGATGTATCCTCTACTGCGATGCTCTTCGTTGAGACAGACAAAGGGTTGCTCTGTGCACTTATTGCAGAATGAAATGACATTGTGAACTTTAATTTCTAGGTGATCATAGGGTCTCTTCAGCAAGTATAATCTGGAGTAATCCTGAGACAATGACTTGGATTAGGAACTCAAGCAAGAATCAGCAGGGTGAGTTGGCTGTAGAAGTTACTCTTGAGAAGGAAGCCGTCAAACAAAGTGGAGATGCTTGGAGGATTGTCATGGACTCATGCCTTCCTCTTATCCATCTAATTGACACAAAACGTTCTATACCATACGCTATCAAACAAGTACAGGAGTTGCTTGGGATTTCTTGTGCTTTTGAGCAAGCTGTTCAGGTATTATAAAAGAATTGGCTTATCTTCTCTATGTAGCATCCTTATCTGATATGGTGTTTGTTACTTCTGGTTGGCCAATTTTGGGGCTGTTTTTGTCCAATTCAGGAGTTACTAGTTAGTCCCTACAGGATCACTCCTTTCCATGGGGACAAGTGGAATTTCACTTGTAGTTAAGGGATGGAAGTTGGAGATAACCTTATTTTGTTTGTTTGTGTAGTTTTTTTTTTTTTTTTTTTTTTTTTTTTTGTGAAAATGTATGTCATCAATTGTCTGAGTCACCTTTTATGGAAGCAACAAATAGTTACTCGTATTTGGAATAACTGATGAAGCTGTATATTAATTATAGTCTTTTAGTGCCTCCTATAATGTTGTGGTTGGTCTTTGGCACTCTCTTACCTGTGGATTATTGATTAATGAAAAAGAGTTTCGCCATACCTGTAACCTCTTCTACTGTTGAAAAATGATAATTATCTTTAGTTGTTCTATGCTTTGTTCATCTCTAATCCCTGGGTTATTGATTAATGAAAATGAGATTTGTGGTACCTAGAATATCATCTAATGTTCAAAAATATGTCATCTTTAGTTGTTCTAGATACCTTTGTTGTTTTGAAGGCTGTTGTGTAAGTACTTAATAGATTGGCTTGTGTTTCAGCGCCTGTCAACATCTGTGACAATGGTTACAAAAGGTGTTCTGAAAGACCATCTACTTCTATTAGCTAATACCATGACATGTGCTGGGAGTCTTGTTGGCTTCAATGCTGGTGGGATAAAGGCATTATCTCGTTCGTTGAATGTCCAAATACCTTTCGCTGAAGCCACTTTGTTTGTAAGTTTTCTCACTGATATTATTCTTTTTAACTTCTTTGGAATCACTTATCAATTTGTATAATTCGTTCCAATCAATGTTATGTTTTGATATTTTCTTAAGACACCAAGGAAATGCTTTGAGAGGGCTGCTGAAAAGTGCCATGTTGATTCATTATCAAGTGTTGTGGCATCTTGTTCCTGGGGTAAACATGTGTCTGTTGGTACTGGATCTTCCTTTGATATTCTTCTTGATACAAGGAAGGTAAATACCACTCTTTCATTTATTGTTTTGAGAGTTCAGGTTTTCTCAAAAACATTGTTGGAGAAGAAAATTTTTTTTAGTCTGTAGTTTTGTGCTAGTGATGCTCTCTCAATACTGAGATGCATGTCTCTTCTGCTAGGTTGAGTTAAATCAGCAGGAAGGTCAGAATGTATATGATTTCCTTCTACTGATGCGAAGCAGTCATGCTCAGGAAGAAAAGGGTACTGACTGTCTTGGTGCAGAAATTGATGATTTGCTACCCGAGGATGAAGATATGAACTTGTACTTATCTCCAGAAAGGGATTCAGACACAATGAAACCAACCTTTGAAGATGGAGTTGAGGATCTGAACGAGAATGTGGATGAAGGCAAATCAAGTGGCGGTGGTTGGGATAAGGTTTCAACCAACACATCAAATACAGGTGGTGGTGGATGGGATCTGGCTGACAAAAACCCAACGACAGCTAAATCGTTTGCTGATCAATCAGACTCCTGGTCTTCCTGGGGTGGTCAAAAAGTTGAAGAATCCCCTGGTTGGGGTAAAAAAGTGGATAGCGATGGTCTCTCCCAGCCTGCTACTGGATCCTGGGGCAATGCAACCCAATCTAATTCTTCTAAGGTTTCAACCGACACATCAAGTGCAGATGGCGGTGGGTGGGATCTGTTTGACAAAAACCCAACGACATCTAAATCATGTAACGATCAATCAGACTCCTGGTCTTCCTGGGGAGGTAAAAAGGTTGAAGAAGGATCCCATGGTGGTTGGGGTAAAAAAGTGGATAGTGATGGTTTTTCCCAACCTGCCACTGGATCCTGGGGCAAGGCAACCCAATCTAGTTCTAAGATTTCAGAATCTGGAAAAGCCCCTGATCAGTCTGGGTCACAATCTTCTTGGGGGAAAGACTTTGAAAAATCTGGAAAAAGCCTTGATCAACCTTGGGATAGTCATAAACAGTCTGATCAATGCTCTTCATGGGGGAAAACTGTCAAAGATGATGTTAAAGTCACAACATCAAGTTCTGGAGATTGGAACCAGACAACTGAAGGAAAATTGTCAACCTCCAGTGGTTGGAATAAACCAGAATCTAGTAAAGGCATTGTTCAGTCAGCGTGGGGGAAAAATGCTGATGAATCCAAGGGAGGTGCTTATAAGCGAGCTGATTCCTCCCCTGCTTGGGGAAAAAGTCCCAAAGAAGATGGTGGGCAAAAGTCAGGACGGGAATGGTCTGCATGGAAAAAAGGAAATGAAGATGGAAAATTGGTTTCACCAAATGCTAATGTCAGCATAGAAACAGCACAAGGTGATCGCACATCTGCTTTGGACTGGGGTGAAAGTGGTCCTAGGTCTACAGAGGGTAGCTGGAGTAAGAAAGGCATACTGGGTGAACAGCCGAAAGAAGTGGCTAGTAGTTGGGCTTCCTCTAAGGGTGTTAGTGGTGGTTGGGATAATGTTGTACCTAGGTCTCCCACGACACAGAAAATAGAATCTCAGAACAATTCCTGGAATTCCAGAGGTGTTGTGGTAAATGAAAGGTCTAATGACTCAGCTGGTGGTTGGGGTTCTCCAAAAGTTGCCGCTAGTGATAATACACAATCTCAATGGGGTGTGCAGAGGAGTACTGTAAAAGTGGATAGCAATCAAAGTTCACGAGGCTGGGGTTCTGCAGTTTCTGAAGATGAAAAGTTAAATGAAGCTACTGGAGTAGCTGGTGGTTGGGGTTCTTCAAAGGGTAGTGGGGACTGGGGTACTGCTGTACCTAGGTCTCCTGCAGCACTGAGGGAAGAGTCCCCACATAATACCTGGTCTTGCACAACTGCTGCAGATGAACGTGGGAATGAATCAGCTGGTGGTTGGGGTTCTCCAAAGGTTGGTTCTAGTGAGGGTCATGGTTGGGGTTCTCCAAAGGTTGGTTCTAGTGAGGGTCATGGTTGGGGTTCTCCAAAGGTTGGTTCTAGTGAGGGTCATGGGCAATCTCCATGGGGTCCGCGCAAGAGAAAAGGAGGAGACGGCAATGAAAGTTCACGAGGTTGGGCCTCTGCAGGTTCAGGTTCTGGAGACTGGAAAAATAAAAGAAACCGCCCTGCAAAGCCAGCTGATGACTCCGGTACTGGTGTAGCATTCACCGTAACAAGGCAGAGGCTGGATAGATTCACTGCAGAGGAGCAAGATATTCTCCTAGAGGTTGAACCAATTATGCAAAACATCAGAAGGATAATGCATCAGTCAGGGTAACTTTCATGACTCTTCAAACTGTCAGAAATTGGTTTATAAGAGTATTCTAAATATGCAGAAATTTACTAATTGGGGTGGATGCACCTATGAATCTCTAGTCACATAGTTGTTTGAGGGTTAGCAATATTTCCATTTAGAGTTTCATATGTTTGTGAATATTCTGCTTTATAATAACTATACAAAAAAATTCTGCTAAATTTGATATTTTGAAGATTGGATACTAGGATAGTAGGATGTTTCTCTATGTGATGATGCTCTTTTGTTGATAAAATTGGAAAATAAAATGTGCATCCCATTTCCTAACTTGTTTTATTAACTATTTTGCTATCTTTTCATTTTTGGCTTAAAGGTTGAGTGATGGTGATCCATTATCTGCTGATGACCAGTCATATATTGTTAATAATGTTGTCAATCACCACCCGGATAAGGCCTCAAAAATCGGAGCCGGAATTGATCACCTTATGGTATGTTGCTGGACTATATTTGAAATATTACTTTGTTCTTTTAATGTGTTTTGCTGACTTGAACTCTCATTGGCATGTGTATTCTTTTGCGGAATTGCTTTAGTCATGCAATGGCATCACACCTTTCTTTTTTGTTGTGTCTGGGTGTGGATGATACTGCATTGAATTGGCTTTTTATTCTTGCTTCTATTTTTCAGTAAGAATATAGTATCTTGGATAGCTTTTCTGTTACATTGTTATTCTCAGATATGATCATACATAGAGTGGTGTACCATTTTAGGGAGTGCATCTAGTTTCACAAGTAATAGATGTGTTGCAGATTCTAATTGCCGTGTTCATTTTCTAGATGTTTTAGGCTATTGATAACTTTCTACCTAATATAGTTTCATGAATGTTACCTTTTGTAGACGGGGAACAAATGAAATCTAGTCAATAGGTGAATGCATTCATACATAGGGAATAACAATGTGTTAGACATTATAAATTTTCTTTACTGTTCAACTTCAATTTTCTAATATAATTTTTCCAATTTTATTTTATTTTATTTATTTATTTATTTTTTTTTTATCATTTTACACCAGAGCAAAGTGGTTAAAAACTATATATGAAATTTAAATGAAGTTAGAAGAAAACATGAAAACAAAGATTTTGCTAAATACTTCAAGTGAAGGACAAGACGCAGTGTTGGTTTTTAGAGACTGATGAACCATTATTTAAATATAATAATTGAAATGGAATATGGATCTATTGTGATTTGTTGAACTGCAGATGAGGTGGGTGGGTGTAAACAATTTTGAGAAAATGCTGACAAATATCTCACACTGCTCTAGTTGTTACTAATTTCAGTATATATGCTCTTTTTCTACCTAATAACAATCAATACTTATTCACTTGACAGATTAGCAAGCACAGTAGTTTCCAGGACACTAGATGCTTCTATGTGGTCTCCACTGATGGTTCTAAACAAGATTTTTCATACCGTAAAAGCCTGGAGAACTTCATCAAGAACAAGTTTCCAGATACAGGTGAGGCCTTCACCCAGAAGTACTTTGTAAAAAAGCTTCCACCACTGCCCCGTCCCGGTTGGAGGCGAGACCAGAGTGGCGCCCCAGAAGCAGCAGCAGCAGCAGTGACTGAAGAACCCAAACAACCTAGTGCTGCCACAGAGGAAACTGTGACTGCACAACCTTAACCAATTGTTTTCCCTTTCGGCTAGTAGTTGGCTTAATGCTGAGATAGTCTCACTGTACAGTTTCTCTGTAGAAAGCTAAGTTGTACTAACTCTAGTTAACTGCATTCTGATTGAAATGTATCTTCTCCGGGCGATGAAATGCCCATTTTCTATGATCCTCTTGAAACATTCCTGCGAGCATTTTGGCAGGCTTTTGTGCGAAGATTGTGACATTTTAATTGTTCATGACATCTTTAATTCAGTATATAGGTGTGATCCATGATTATTATTTATTTATTTATTTTCACTAGATTATAAATAGTATAATACTTGTCTTTGCTTGTCTTTTAAGAGCATCCCTGTGGCTGTAAACATTTTGGTATTGCCGTGTGAACATTCTAATGAGCTATGTTCCAATAATTTTCTTCCAAGTATTACACTATTTTTTTGAATGGAAAATGCTAAATGTCGAGTAAAACTTCTGTCAATCGCTGACGGGGATTACACCACTTGGTATATTCATGGATAAGGATGATGGGACAAGAATGTGAGTTTTTCATTTTATTTTTTTTTGAAACAATTGGCAATAGTGTGAACGATGAAATTTGATCCAAAATTGCTTAAAAGAGATTAATTTACTTTCAAGCTCTACAAATTTATACAAAAAAAAAAAAGCATCAATTTAATGATGGAAGTAATTTTAAAAAAGTCAAATAAACTATTGAGTGTATCGCTTTTGTACAGTTAAATCATTGAACTTAATTCACGAATATAATTTAGAACAATATCAAAATTTGAAGTGCGGTTAAGGGCATTAGACTCAATGTTGCAATACTTTTCTACTTCAGCCACTTAAGAGCCTCTCTAGAGCTACTACAATTCTAGGTTGGAGAAAACCGATCCAGGTTAAGGCCTTTGCCACAACAAAAGCACCATCAGATTCCCTCATAGTGAGGCCGAAGCAAGAGATTTTGAAGTTATATCAAGTGTTGCATCAATATTAAGCTTATACCACCATTAAGGAGGTTTCTTCACTTCTGTTTTAACTGAATTTAATTGTACAATTTTTAAGTTTAGTAATTCAATTGTATACAAGTTGCAATTAGATTTTTTTTTTTCTTTTTTCAAAGTCAAAGTTATTAGAAAGTGTAGATTAAAAAGTTCCAACGTGCCGAAAATGATAAAGAAAAGATAATTAAGAGTGTACGGAGGGAGGGGGAGCAGTGCACTGTGCACTAAGTAAAGGATAAAAGTTCCAACGTGCCGAAAATGAAAGTGATCTCATCCCATTCGTGACTAGTGTCTGCCCTTTCACTTTCTTGCTCAGAGCACTCACTCCACTCTTCTACTTATTATTATTATACCTTTCAAAATCAAATCCATCGCCAATCTTCTTCCTTTTGATGATTCAAATTCTTCTCTCCACCGCGTTTGTGTCATTGCAACTCTTCTTGTTTCGTTGATTCGTTGCCTGGAAAGGGGATGGCTTTTGTAATTAGTCAAATGGTGGTTCCCCCAAATAGCAGCGCTTACAAGCCTTGGGAAGATCCTTCATTCTTCAGATGGAAAAAGCGGGATGCTCATGTCCCATTCCGTTGCCATGAATCCGTGGAAGGTATATTCTTATCACCAAACTTTTTGTTTCCATCACGAATATATTGAATTATACTACGATCAGATTCCGCGCCTTTATGTAATGCACTTTTCTTCACAAATGAATCCAGAGATCGCTTTTTTTTAAATGTTTATAGACCAGTAGTAGTGTTGAAGTTTTTCATGGTTTAGGATCCCTTAAGTATTGGCGTGAGCGGAACAAGGCGGATGTTGTGGTGGCTAATTCTGCAGTTTGGGACGACGATGCTGTTCCTGAGGCGCTTGATTGTGCTGCTCGGTGGGTGGAAGGTTTGCCTTTTGTCAAGTCTTTGTCAGGCTATTGGAATTTCTTCCTGGCTCCTAGTCCTCCCGCTGTTCCTTCAAATTTTTATGATACCTCTTTTCAGGACTCTACTTGGACCAAAATTCCAGGTGGATAATTTTATGTGTTAATCTTATGATAGTTCTCCTGTTTTTATTTTTGTGGCTGATGCAATTTTTTCTTCTAATCCATGCAGTTCCTTCCAATTGGCAGTGTCATGGACATGACACACCAATTTATACTAATGTTAAATATCCCTTTCATTTTGATCCGCCCAAAGTTCCTGATGAGAATCCCACTGGCTGTTACAGGACTTTGTTTTTCCTTCCTAAAGAATGGGAAGGTGAGATTTTGGAATTTGGTTTTCTTATGTCTTTAAAATTGAATTCTCTGACATTTGTACTTATTCATGCATTCAAATTTGTCTTTACAGTGTATTAGTACCTTTTTATATACATGCATGCGTGTGTATCATTGTGAATCTGTTGCAAATCCAACATCTCCTGGTTCTCCACAGGACGCAGGATATTTCTACATTTTGAAGCTGTGGATTCCGCGTTCTATACCTGGGTAAATGGGGTTCCTGTTGGATATAGGTTTGTGAATGCATCCTTACTAATCTCTCTTTTGTTAATTTTCTTTTTGCTGTACCGTGGGAGTTGTGGTTTTGTTTCCATATCATTCGTTTACTTCATCACTTGTGTGTTGTGTAGTGTATGTTAATCCATTTAGCTGGTAGCTATAAGCTCTTGGTCCTTCCTACTGCAAATAGTCTGTTTATGGCAGTTTTGGAATACTCTTTAAGCTTAGACATTCTGATTCGGAAATCAAATATGAAGCGGATTAGCATGAGCTGTGATGGTGCTATCATTATATATGTTGTTGTCTTTATCTTTGTATTATCAGTTACACTGATGAACATCATTATTTGGACTGTTTCAGCCAGGACAGTAGATTACCTGCGGAATTTGAGATAACCAGTTTTTGTAAACCCTGTGGGTCTGATAACTGCAATTGTCTAGCTGTTCAAGTAATGCGATGGAGTGATGGGTCTTACCTTGAAGATCAAGATCACTGGTGGTTGTCTGGCATTCATCGTGATGTGCATCTTATTTCAAAGCCAAAGGTGAGTTGCTACCTTTTTTATTTTCTAATTTTTTGTTATATTGTTAATATTTATTTCATCTTTGCTTATTGCTAACATCCTACTTTATCATCTGCAGATATTTATTGCTGACTATTTTTTTAAGTCAAACTTGACAGAAGATTTTTCTTATGCAGATATAGAGGTAAGTGTTGTGTGTTTGCTACGTATTTGGATGTTAGTGTCTTGAGACTCTGTATATTCTGTTTGCGTATTGTATAATTTCTATTCTTCATCTGCAGCATTTAAACCTTAAATTTATTTATATCTGTTTAGAAATGTCTACATCATTTCAGATAATTTTGACCATGATGTATTGTAAATTCTTGGAGTCTGAATTCTTGACCATTTGTTATTCTAATTTACCATTCATTTCTTAAAAGCTATTCTCTGTAATTTTATTTATAAGCATTCCTTGATTAAAAATTGTATATTACAGCTCTTTGATTAATTTATTTTCTGAAACCTTTTTGGAAATAAAAGTAGTTTTCCCTTTTTGCTCCAATTGACAGGTTGAAGTGGAAATTGATAACTCATATGCCGATCTAAGTCTTTCTGACTTCACTGTTGAAGCTGCAATATATGAAAATGGAAGTTTGTGCGATAAAGCGAAAGACAGTGATCTGCTTTCTGCAGATGCAACTCCTTTACAATTTACTTCCAAAAGTGATTACTATTTAGGATTTAAAGGGTATTCTCTTGTGGGGAAAGTGCAAGCGCCAAAGCTCTGGTCTGCAGAGCAGGTATCGAACTTCTAATAAAAAATGTTACTCACTAGATGAGTGTTCATGTTTTTTTTTTCCCTCGCTTAATATTGGCAGTTGCACCTATTATTTGAATTCTGTTCCTGTTAAGGTAATCTTGTCTGTTGCTCATTTATTTATTTATTTTGTTGTTGGCAGCCCAACCTTTATACTCTTGTTATCACCATTAAAGATGCTTCAGGACATATCATTGATTGTGAATCATGTCAAGTTGGCATACGGCAAATATCTAAAGCACCAAAAGAGCTGCTTGTTAATGGGCAGCCAGTAATGATAAGAGGTGTAAACAGGCATGAGAACCATCCACGTATTGGAAAGACTAACTTGGAATCCTGCATGATCAAGGTAACACATTGCTTTTTTTTATAATATATATATATATATATATATATATATATATATATATATATATATATTATTTTTTTATTTTTTATACCACTTTGTGTAAAGGTCTCATTATATTGTCAATTTCAGTTTCTGATTCTGAGATGTATACTTTATTTTTCTTGGTAGGATTTGGTTTTAATGAAACAAAACAATATAAATGCTGTTAGAAACAGCCATTATCCTCAACATCCACGATGGTATGAGTTGTGCGATCTCTTTGGCATGTACATGATTGATGAAGCCAATATTGAGACACATGGTTTTATGGAACATCCAAAACATAAGCATCCGGCACTGATATCATATTGGGCTGCACCTATGCTGGACCGTGCTGTAGGCATGGTTGAGAGGGACAAAAATCATGCATGCATTATAGCCTGGTCCCTTGGGAACGAGTCAAGCTATGGACCTAATCATACTGCTATTGCCGGTACATAATTTTTTCTTGTTACTTACATTTCCTTATTTTAAGATAATTTAAAATCCGTTCATTTACTATGGTAAAGTAGATACCTAGTTTTGAATTGTGCTTGCTTATGAGAATGGAAGGGGATATGAGGCTTATTCCAAGGTTTTCCAACAAGAAATAATATCTGTTATATTTGTTGTACAACATCAGGATGGATAAGAGAAAAGGATCCATCAAGACTATTACACTATGAAGGTGGTGGTGCCAGGACGTTATCAACTGATATTGTGTGCCCGATGTATGCCCGTGTCTGGAATATAGTTGAGATAGCCAATGATCCAACTGAACTGCGGCCAGTAATATTATGCGAGTGTGTTTTCACTATCCAATTATGTTCTTGCCATTGTTATTCCTTTAATCTCTTTGTTTCCAGACTATTAAAACATTGGTTTCTGGACAACCAGATATTCACATGCAATGGGTAACAGCAATGGAAATCTTCATGAATACTGGGAAGCAATTGATAGTACATTTGGTCTTCAAGGAGGTTTTATTTGGGATTGGGCTGACCAGGTCTTTACCTTTTTAAGTTAGTATATATGTTTGATCACATACTGTTATAACTTCAGTAATGAATAAATACTTGAAATTTTAATAGACCCTTTGTGCCTTTTCTCCACCTGACTACTCCCCAACATCATCATTGTAGAACATCTCATAATCCTGATCAATTATTTACAATTTCATCGAGGGTGGATGGGGTGGGATTGTAATCCTATGATTATAATCTTGCCTGGATAGAAGGTAGGTCCCATCCCAAGTTTAGGTGCCAATCAATGAACCAAATAGGGTACTAGATCCCGAAGCCCAGGATTAAACATGGGATTGGTGACTAGCTTTCCTGCTCATAACCCTTGAGATTGATAAACTTCTCAGTCCTCACTGCTCAACAGGCCAAAAATGATAAATGATAAACATGCAAATTTCTGTTGTGATAATATTTTTGGTTTTTAAATGCCTATTGTTTCTTATGGAGTATTAATTAATGCATGTCTCCAATTTCTAATCAGGCAATATTGAAAGAAGGTTCTAATGGTAAAAAGCACTGGGCATATGGAGGTGATTTTGGGGATACACCTAATGATTTAAACTTCTGCCTAAATGGTGTTGTATGGCCAGATCGAACTCCTCACCCTGCATTACATGGTGACTTTTATTTTTTATTTTTTCACTGTTTATTTCATCTTCGTAATACTTAAAAGCCCCATCCATGTTGGATCGCCATCTTTTCATTTGTTTTTTCCACTTTTATGGATTTTTTACCATAGAAATTATGTATACTGAAGAGTGTTGCATGTTTTCAGAGGTTAAGTTTGTCTACCAGCCAATAAAGGTTTCATTTGATCAGGGTGTTATTGAGGTAAGGTTGTGTTTCACTAACACTTCCTCTTTGCTTAGATTCTTAGAATGTATCTCTTATTGCTACCTGTTCACTTTCCAGATTAAAAATACCCATTTTTTCGATACAACACGAGAATTGGAGTTTAACTGGTTGCTTCATGGTGATGGTTGTGAGCTTGGGTCTGGGAACCTTGGTGTTCCCGTGATAGAACCTCAGGGTACTCACAGAATACTTTGGGAGTCTGGACCATGGTATTCGTTGTGGTCTTCATCCGGAGCTTCTGAATTTTTTTTGACAATTACTGCAAAGTTATTGCACCCTACACGTTGGGTTAATGCCGGTCACCTTATTTCTTCTACACAAATCCTCTTACCTGGCAAACAAGAATCTGTTCCTCATGTAAGTAGTGTTCCTTTGCTCCTAACATTTCTCTAATTATTTTTACACATTGTATTAACTGGGTTTATGACAGACTATTAAAGACACAAAGGCTACTTTAATTATTCACAACCATGAAGATACAATAAAGCTTGGTCACGGTGGCTCATGGGAGATGGTCTTTAACAAAAAATCCGGTGCTATAGAATGCTGGAAGGTAATTTTCATGAATGCCACCTGTTCCAACTATTTGACTATTCAGTAGTCAAATATTTTGCCTATATGCCTTTATCTTTTTACCTATTTGCTGAATTTGCTTGAATTTTATTAATGATAGGTCGGGGAAATTTTGGTTATGAATAAAGGTATTATTCCATGCTTTTGGCGAGCACCAACAGATAATGATAAAGGAGGAGAGCAAATGAGTTATTTATCTAGGTGGAAGGCAGCAAATCTTCACAATCTGATTTTTCTTAGCGAGAAGTTTTCAGTTGAAAGTGAAACTGAGCATGTGGTGAAAATTCAAATTACATATGTTGGTATCCCTGCCAGTGAAGTGAATACTCTTTCAGCTTCAGGGGCATCATCTAGTCTTCTCTTTAAAGTTCATATGTTATACTCGATATATGGTTCTGGAGATGTTATTCTGGAATGCAACGTGGAGCCATGTTCTGATCTTCCACCTCTGCCACGTGTTGGCGTTGAATTTCAACTGGAAAAATCCTTGGACCAGATTAGCTGGTATGGAAGAGGACCGTTTGAATGTTACCCAGACCGTAAAGCTGCTGCCCATGTAGGCATCTATAAACATAATGTTGGCGATATGCACGTGCCTTATATTGTTCCTGGGGAATGCTCGGGTAGGGCAGATGTTAGATGGGTGACATTTCAAAGCAAGGAGGGCACTGGCATCTACGCTTCTATGTATGGGGGCTCCCCACCAATGCAAATGAATGCTAGCTACTACACAACGGCTGAGCTTGACCGGGCTACACACCATGAAGATCTTGTAAAAAGTGATAGCATTGAGGTACCACACCCACCCTTACAAATTCTTAAACATTCATAGTTCTGTATCATCGATTCCCTTTTATCTGTTGCTCATTGCCCACTTTGGAAATGCTTTGGTCTCAGAGTCAGGTTAACGGTTCTGGATTTGAATCTCCTCACTACCCAATAAAAATAATAGGTTCACATGATGCTCGACCCATCAAATAGATAATTGGCCTGCACTTGTGAGGGGGTCATGTTGAGTAATGAGTATATAATACTCCGTATAAAATATAAAATGTGCAGTCTCACTATCAATTTAAGTTTATTAGTTAAGACGGTATCTTTCAATAAACTGTTCAAAAGAAACTTTTGAACCACTTGTCACCCGAATATAAATTTTCATTCTCAGTACTCATAAGTCATATCCTACTTTTTTCTTTAGACTAGTCCATTTATTCTTCCTCGTTTATCGTTTTAATTTGATCTTGATATATGGTCCCGAATCTTGTTACGCAGGTGCATCTCGACCACAAGCACATGGGTTTGGGAGGCGACGATAGCTGGTCGCCTTGCGTTCACGAGCAGTACCTTCTTCCTGCTGCTCCCTACTCTTTCTCCATCAGGTTTCACCCCTTAACTGCAGCAACTTCTGGCCCTGATGTCTACAAATCACAACTTTGAGGACCATTCACTCTCACTGCATGGGTGGACTTGTTTAGCCTAGACTCTGAACTTGCATGAGAAATGTAGAAATTAAAACTGAATAATAAAATGCCGGGTACCTTTTGATTTGAATAATGGAATCTGTTGGCTAAAGATTTAGTTATGTTAACAACAATTGTGATTTCCCTAGCATGGATAATCAGTGCATGCTACTTACTCATTTGTTACAGTGCTCTTGTTAGTTATATGTTATATGCATAGTGAAAAATTGATCAGTTCAAGGGTTTGATCCTGAGTGTATCTAGTAAATAGTAATATCGCGTAACACTTTAGAGAGAGTTGTTTTTCGAAAGGGTTTGACTGAGATTTAATTGGATTAGTCTCATAATGTAAAAAATTCGATTTAGTTAAAATTAGTTGTGTTAAACACCTTAATTGATTGGTTAAAGTAATTCACTATTTCATTGTTGCCTCTCTGGTGAAAGATACAACCTAAAAATGTATAATTAAAGACACACGTAAAGATGCAATCTTGATTGTCCTAGTAGTATTGTACCTAGACAATTTTGACCGTCGTAGTGTGAGATTTTTACTATTCTGTGGAGGTAGCTTTGGTTCTTAGCTAAAAGCACGATTGAATCATGACTATTCTCGTGTAAGAGTTTCACTATCTATGACGGAAACTCGACCATCCCAATTTGAATGCTTTATTATCTTAGTTAAAAATTACACTCAAATACACATAATCAAATTCTGAAAATTAATCTTAATATGGGCTTCTTATAAATAAGAGACATCGATATTTATTGTGATTTAAATCATTCACAAATCACAATGCAAATAATGCACTAGACATTGGTCCTTGGCTCCTGGCCTTTTGCACCCAAGAGTAATTCATCGCTCTCTCTCTGAGCATTTGCAATATAGGGACATATGAGTTTTCATAATCCAAAATTAATCACTTATTGGAAGTAGATCATATTTGTTAACCTACCAAATAAATAAATAAATAATGATGTGATATGATTGAGTGAGTGGTTTTATGTGGCGCCATTGTCGACCAACACTATATACAGGCAGAGTGGAAAGTAGAATCTGAATCAAGAAGGAAAGGGAATGAAATGGATATTCTGAGAATGGTTGTTTCAGCTTTGCTGGTCGCCCTTTTGTCCATAGCCTCACTTCCTCTTCTCAATCTCAATCACAATCACGATTACTCCAACTCTGCAAGTACACTCTTATTCTTGTATTGTATTCCAGAGATTGGTCGTCTTTCTGCATTTCTTGTGTTTTTCACTTTCCATTTTTGTGTTGTGAGCAGAAGTTGCGGACTTGGTGGTGAGAAACGCCACTATCTACACCGGCGATGCCTCTCTCCCCTTCGCCGACTCCATGGCCATTCGCGCCGGTCGGCTTCTCCGACTTGGTACCTATTCTTCTATCAAGGTAATCATTATCTCTCTCTCTCTCTCTCTCTCTTGCACATTTGTTTTGCTTCCATTATTCTTCAATCTATCTTTCCATATGCATATTTGTTTTGCAAGCAAGCAAGCGCGAGAATTGAGTATACTATTGGTCATGCTCCCTGGGGTTGCATCAAATTTGGTCCCATAGTTCCATGTAAAAGAGCTTATTTATAGCTTTTCATTTCTCATTCGAAAACTAGATTTTTTAATGAGCATTCTTTCATAAAGCTAAGCTACAGTGCTGAAAAGGTACTCATTTTTAACCAAGTGGATTAGACTCTGTGCCAATCACACTAGGTCCAATTCCTTTTTTTTTTTTTTTGGATACATTAGGTTTCCACCTCACACTTACTAATCCTAAACTCCCATAACCTCTAGAGTCGCTGGAGGAGGTAACTCGCTAGTTGCCCCTGTTGTTGACTTTGCACACAAGGGATCTATCTCCACATTTCCGCCAACTTGGGGAGCCAAATATCCAAGTTCTCTGCTAGTCTTCTCTTTTTGTTTTGTTTTGTTTTTTTTTTTTTTTTTTTTGGGTGAATACAATGGTGGGGGTGAAGGGAGGGGGATGGATATTGGCTTCCTCCTCCAAAGAGATAAAAAGTCACAAAATGGTTTTGTAAAAATGAAAAAGGAAACAAGCATGGTCTGCAAGTAGGTTTTCACCCCTCACCAAGAAGAAACAAAAACACTACCAAGCGTACCTGCTCTATAAATGCAAAAAGTAAGTTAATGGTCTGTTGTGAATAGTTTTTCTGTTTTGCATATTCGTCAGGACTATGTAAGTACATAAAGAATATATGGAATATAATATTTTATTAGAAGTTCATAAGTTTATGCAGTATCTATAAGTTTAGGGATAGAAGTATCTATGAAACATGCAAAAATATGCTTAAGGAATTTTAGTTTTGATAGCTTCTGATAAAAATTTGATGCCAGCTTAATGTGTGCAGTGTGGCCCTGAAGAACTGTACATATCACTTTTTAGAAGTTGTTGATCCCTATTCTGGATTAGGAGAACATATAAAGGAAGAAGCTTCCAATGGCCATAATTTATTAGAAAGAAGAAATAAATTACCATTTTGCTATAAAGTGGAAGTTGGTGCAATGTAATGATGGTCTTAGACAAAGGGGCCACAACTAGCACTTTTTGGAGATTCATACATAACCAGTTGCGTGTAGTGCGAGAAAGAGCTGAAACTTGCAATTTGCAAATATGGAATGCATGGTTCTGGTCACTTGAATCTAGACTGATTTGTAGGTTTTGATCATATTATCAATGCCATAGTTTGTTCTCATATTGTTGATGCAAACTTTGCATTTAGATGACTGCAAAAGTAACATTGACAGAAAACTGATTCATTAAACTGTGACCTGAAAACTGATTCATTAAACTGCAACGTGTACTTCATGGAATTTCAAAGCTCGATGGGGATCTTCTGACCACTCATATAGTCATGCAAGATCCTCACTTATGGAATATGAATGATAGTCTGAGACCCAATATTCTATATCTTGAAATATATCATCTGTTTCTTTGTTTTACTAGTCAATTCCGTTACGGCACTAGTTGTTTTTTTCTATTCCCTTCCTTTTTGTTTCTCTTTGAGCCACAAGCTAAGATATATTAAATAAAAGAGTAATGCTACCCACCCCTCCAAAATTTCCCCTCCTAATCTCCCCTCCTGACATGACACTTTTTCATTGGATGGCTTAGTCTTTGATAACAAGTTAGTAGGGCTAATCAATTCATGGCACTCAATTGTTATAAGCCATGTCATGAGGGATTTTAAGAGGAAAATTTTGGAAGGGAACAAAGCCTAAATAAAAATGCTTAATATTCAAGGGATTTAGAGGTTCATGGTTTTATGAAGTCAATAATACTGGAGTATATGTGAAAGCAGGACTTGGCAGGGTCGGGGACTAAGGAGCTGAATGTTGAAGGGAAAGTTGTGGTTCCAGGATTTATTGATTCTCATGTACACTTAATATCTGGAGGATTGCAGGTCTCACATCAGTCCTATGATCTCATTTTCATGTATTTTGTAAAGCGTGGCATTTCACCGACCACATATCATGAACTTTGGCTTAATTGTTGTTAGATGCTCTTTTTAATTGTAAAGTTTTTTTTCTGATATCGTATTTCTGTTTATCGTGATTGGGCTACATGCTTTTGAAAACAAAATTGAAATAGATGGCACGAGTGGAGCTCCGTGGTGTTAATAGAAAAGAACTTTTTGTGAGCAAAGTCAAGGAAGCAGTAACAAGTAAATATTCTTGTCTCCCTTGCAACTTATGGCCATGTTCTTCACACCAATATATTACTCTATTTTAGCAAATAATAATTAGAGTTACTTCCAATTTGTTGAGTTGAGTTTACTTGCATTCTTGAATCAGCTGCACTTGACATTAGCTCTACAGAACTGCTAAGTCTTCTTAATATTTCAGGTGTAGTTTTGATGGTAAATTCTGAAGACTTACCTGCCTTGTCAGGAAAAAAAATTAATAATAAAAAACATTTGTAAAACAAAATGTTGATTCTTTAAGAATTATATAGAATAATTGAACTCCTGATATATCTCAATCTGAAAGGAGTTTATATAAATACTATGCTTCATTTTAATTTTACATTTACCTGATTGCTTGTTATTTTCTTTCGGTTTTTCCATTTTGCTTTGTTCTCCCCTGAAAATTTTTCCAGATATGAAATCTGGTTCTTGGTTATTGGGTGGTGGGTGGAACAATGATCTCTGGGGTGGAGATTTTCCAATGGCTTCTTGGATTGATGATATTACACCTCACAACCCTGTAAGAAAATTTTACCTTAATATTCACCAACTTAATGTGTCCATTTGCTTTGGAAGTCAGCTTAGAATCTTGAGATCATACCCAGGTTTGGCTATCAAGGATGGATGGACATATGGGCTTGGCTAACTCCTTGGCACTAAAAATTGCTGGCATTTCTCATGACACACAGGATACAGATGGTGGAGCTATAGTGAAAAACAGTGATGGAGGTGATTTCAATGTCTATTTTTCATTTTCAGTACACTTGATTAGCAAAATAGTAATCAAGCACTTCAATCACATGTTCCTACATCTTATCATGAAGCTTGCTACCAGATCTGATGCTATCAAACAAGTTTTACAATAAGATTTTGGGAAAATTGTAATTTATGCCCCTCCATAATATGTCAATTATCAATGTTATCCCTGAATTATTAGTGGTGTAAATGTTGCCCTCAATTTTCAAAACAGTACATATATTGCCCCTCCCGTACCGTACGGCAGGGGCAATATATGTACTGTTTTGAAAATTGAGGGGCAACATTTACACTTAAGAGGGGCAATATATGTATCGTTTTGAAAATTGAGGGGCAACATTTACACCACTAATAATTCAGGGGTGACATTGATAATTGACGTTTTATAGAGGGACATAAATTACAATTTTCCCTAAGATTTTTATTAATCGGAGATAATCATGTGCAGAACCTACTGGTTTGTTGATAGATTCTGCAATGAAGCTTGTGTTATCCTGCATCCCAGAACCTTCAACAGATGAAAGGAGGAATGCGCTTTTAACAGCAAGCAATCTTGCGCTGATGAGGGGTGTGACAACAGTTGTCGACTTTGGAAGATATTTTCCTGGTTCTCCCACAGAACTTTCATGGGAGGATCTTTCAGGTTCAAATAGATAAAACAATGGCTGAAATTAGTGTAGTGTTATATGCACAACTATTGGGTGTTTCATTTTTTGACATTAAGATTATGCATGGGATCAACAGACATGAGAAATACTTTAATATATACTCTTCAAATGAAAATAACTTGGAAAAGTAGTCAATCATTATAAGGCAAAAAAACTCACACAGGCACAATTGCACAAACATATTGACACTTATTTATCAAACATGTGCATTTGTGTAGAACCTAAAAAACAGAATTTAGAATTCTGATATATCCATCATTAGATAAGAATCCTACAATAATAATTATGTATCTTTCTAATCTGTGCTATTCTTAGAATGACTTTCTTGCTGCATGTATAAAGTTAAGCCATCATTAAAACATGACAATTGCAGATGTGTACCAATGGGCTGATTTGTCAGGAAATATGGTGATCCGTGTTTGCTTATTCTTTCCATTGGAGACATGGGCGCGCCTAGAGGTATTCGGGAAGTAATATAATATTATAATTTTACCAGACTCATTCTGTTTTAGTTGATACTTCATGAAAGGACGGTGCTCTATGACCAATAGATGAGTGCATGTATATTTACACTGTTTGGCTGAAAATGAGAATGGGAGGGTGCTGTGTATTTGCTTTATTTAATTACCTTGGTTGTTTCTTTGGTAATGATGTGTTTTGTTTTTCACTATCGAAAACCCCTATGTCTCAGGGTTTTGTAAAGAAGGTTGGTCGTTCTCTGAGCCAATGGATTCACTTAGGTGGTGTGAAGGCTTTTGCTGATGGATCTTTGGGATCTAACAGTGCACTGTTTTATGAGGTCAGAAAGTATTTCTATATTCCAGATTTGCATGCTCTGACTTGCTTCTATGCCATCTCTCATCCAAAGATACATCATGAAGACATTATTAGACTTTGCTTAAAGCAAATATAACCATTTGTGATTTGTCTTGCAAATATTTCGATCGATCTTATTCAAAGTAGTGTGTTAAGACATGGGCACAGGGGGGTATAGATTTAGTTAATTGCACTAAGTTTCTCTACTGTGTCTTCAGCCATATGTTGACGAGCCTCACAACTATGGACTACAAGTAACAAATATGGATCGGCTATACAACCTGACTCTTTCTGCAGATAAAGCTAACCTTCAGGTGCTTTATATTTCATACTCCGACCTTTTTGCCGTCTTTTTATGCTGCTCATGCACTATTCTCACAGAATAGAATGTCTATTTTTTTCAGGTAGCCATTCATGCCATTGGTGATAGAGCCAATGACTTAATCTTGGATATGTATGCTTCAGTAGCTTCTGAGAATCAAATGAAGGATCGGCGATTTAGGGTAAATCCAACTGCTAAGAATTTTACCAGTCAATTCTTTCTGGCTTTCTGTGTTGCTTCACATTGTTCTTCGTCTTCTGAGAAATAGTATTATTATATAATTTAACAACCACTTGCAGATCGAACATGCTCAACATTTGGCCCCCGGGACTGTTGCACGGTTTGGTGAACAAGCAGTTGTTGCTTCAGTGCAGGTTCCTCTTCTTTAGTTGTGTCATCTGTATACATTATTCCTATTGTACATAATTTGCAGAATTTTGGAAAGGTAGTTAAGACTCAATTCCTATTGACTACAGCCAGATCACTTATTGGATGATGCTGATTCCGCAATTAAGAAACTTGGGTTGAAGAGAGCAGAGGGAGGATCCTATCTGTTCAAGTCGCTCCTCGCTAACAATGCACAACTAGCATTTGGCTCTGATTGGCCAGTATGAATCATCTCATACCTACAAACTGATATTTTCATTATTCCATTGTAGTTCATCAAGTATCTACTCCAGGGTTGCCACTCCTTTCTCTTTTTCTTGTTTTAGGTAGCAGATATTAATCCGTTGAGAAGCATAGCGACAGCAATGAAAAGAATACCTCCAGGTCAACAAAAAGCTTGGATTCCATCAGAACGCACGAGTCTAAAGGAGGCACTAGATGCGTAAGACAAACAGGGGCTCTTTCTAGCCATTCCCTTATGTTTTAGCCTCTGGGAAAGAAATTAAAGGAATCCACAATCTCTTCTAATGTTTTCTGAAGTAGGAAGTTTTCTAGATTATAACAATAGTAGAAAAAAATGGAGCACTCGAATCTTTATGTTGTTTCTATAGTGTTATTATTGTCACCTGCCAGTGGTCACTTGGATTCAACTGATGGCAGGTACACAATCTCGGCTGCTCGGGCATGCTTCCTTGACAAAAATGTTGGATCACTCTCTCCTGGGAAGTTGGCAGATTTTGTGGTTTTGTCTACTGATTCATGGGATTCTTTTGCAAGTGATGGATCTGCCTCGGTTCAAGCAACATATGTTGGTGGAATCCAGGCTTATCCCAAAAAGATCAAGGCTGATAATTAGATGGAACTTGAGAGATAATGAAATACATTGTAATGTGTATACTTCTTTCCTGTAGTAATTCTGAAGGTAGTCCAGGATAGTAAATTTCAATATGCTTAAACTAGAAATTGTGACACCTGAATACCATAGACTGGAAACTTGGAGGTTTTGCCTTTTAAACTTCAAGAAACATGTACAACAGGTTACAGGCCTGAAAGTTGCATAACTGTTTGTTCATATTTTCTATTAGGCAAAAGATTCTGATGATTTCTCACATTGACAGTCATTTACTTGAGATAAAATATTGTAATAGAGAGTAAGATTCTGAGAGTTTTGAGGCAAGAATCTGGCTTCTTCATTAGATAGTAACCTTAAAACTCTGCTCAAAGAAATGCAAGCATTAATATTTAGCCATTGTTTCATACATCAGCAAACATAAATACCAGAAGACTTGTACTATCTAACACCATCTCTGATTGTATCCTTGAGGAGTTGGTGAAAACGCTGACACAAGCATAACTGTGTGCTCTCTTGAAATGGGGCAAAAAAGTATATTATCTGCTAATGTTTGACTGTTTCTCAGCCACGGGACACATGGCAATTGACAGAAATTGTGATTTAAACAAGAATTGAAAGACCCTTCTTTTCGGGGGATGGAATGGCTGTCTTGTTACCAGGGAAAGCAGCTCGTGAGATGTCAACCAGGGCTTTGAAGCTATATGGTTCGTGCATTGAGAGCTCAGACAAAACTTTTCTGTTGATCTGGATATTTTCCTTCATAAGTCCATGCATGAAATTACCATAATTTACCTGAAAAGTTGACAAGAAAGAAGGAAGGTGGCTTCAACATCTTAATCAACTAGTACAGTAAATCTTGTTCTAATTACTACAAATTATAGATGGTAAGTCTGAATCATGAATATGGAGTATAGTGATGAACATTGCATATGAACCAAATCCAGCTACTTTGACTGCTTTACACCACAACCCTATATCCATACTAATCACCAGCACAGAGAATGAAAAAGTTTCATCAAGTCACTAAAAAAAGAAACAAATGTGAAGAACATTTTCTTGACCACTTTACAGTTTAAATCCCGTCATGAAAGAAAACAGCTTTAACCAACCATTTCTTCCACCAAATTTTAATCTTCGCTTGTTTTTTCTTAGTCCAGTTTACGCAGAGGATAGCACCCTGCTTCTGTCATGTCCTCTTGTTTTCTTCCTCATCCCTAATATACAAAATTTTGGGATCTCCAACTTTGAAATGTTTACACCCCTATTGGACAAGAATTTCCCATCTGCTGGTTTTTTTTTATCACATGACTATGTTTTCAAGGAAACACAAATCTTCAATCTGTAATTTCATTATATCATTATAACAAAAACAGTAGTTTGAGTAATGGATCCATCAAGACCAACAGAATGAAACTGATTCACACTGTTGTTTGTGAATGTTGTAGTTATACTTCCAATTTTGCTCAAATATACGCATTGCAGAACCAACGCCCCAAACAAAGTTCACAGTGCACAAGGAAGAATATATATCCAGAGCACATAAACCAACCAAAACACACCACACAATAAACAAAACTCCAGAAAAAATCTTCAAGAAAATATATCAGCTCGAAGTCCAGTGAGGCATTTAATCAAACACAAAGCAGTCACTCAAAATAACACCACATATCAAACGGAATTTACGGATACATATATAAAAAGGGGTGGTGAAAGAAAGGTGATAAGAGAAGCGTACTCCGTGCTGGCGAGTGCCGGCGTTGATGCGCTGGATCCAAAGCGAGCGCATGTCGCGCTTCTTGTTGCGGCGGTCTCTGTAGGAGTACTGTAGCGCTTTCTCCACCCTCTCCCTCGCTATTCTTATACAGTTCTTTGCCCTCCCTCGGAACCCCTTTGCTAGCTTCAATACCTCCTTCTTGTTCATTCTTCCTCCTCTCCCTCTCTCTCTCTCTCTCGTTGTCTGTCTTGCTGAAGCAGAGTAGACTGTAGCCTATAGAGTAATTGAAGTGTTAAAAAAATTTGGAATAAGGGTTAAATAGGCCACTGAACAGTACATGATAATGTAATTAGGCCACTGAACTCTAAAAAGTTACAATTGAGTCTCTACATTAATTCATGTCAAATAATTTGTCTAATTTACAAGTTTTCCCCATTGATCACTCAATTTAAAATATTTTTTAAAAATAATTTTTTTTTTAAATTATTAATTAAAATAAACGAAAAAAAAGTCGTCTGATGAATCAGTAGCACCCGGGTCCTCACAAACAATCTGGATTCTCCTCATGGGCTTTCCGGGCTCAGCTCTGGGTTTCATTGCTCAGCCGGCGGTTGGATAATGATAACATTGTATATCTCAAATTACAAAGAAACCCCCCAACAAAATTTCCTCGAAAACTCTAGTTTAAGAACAAATTTAAAAAGCCAAAAAATATGATCGGAAAACAGGTCAAAAGTAGTAATCAAGAAAAAAAATTAGCTGGAAAACCTCTCAAAAAATAAAAAAAAAATTGCTAAGTTTGTATCAGGCTTAGCCGGAGACCTTCGTCCCCGGCGGAAACGATGTTTTTTTTTTTAAATAAACAAACAATTATTTTTAAAATTTAGTTTATTTTAATTAGTTATTTTTTAAAAAATATTTTAAATTAGGTGACCTGTTACAAATAGGGAAAACTTGTAAATGGGTCAAATTGTTTGAAATTGGTTAGTTTAGGGACTCAATTATAGTTTATTTTTTAGTTCAGTGGCCTAATTGCATTATCGTGTGTGGTTCGATGACCTATTTGACCCTTATTCCAAAAAATTTTAAGGACATTAAGAGAGCAAATTATCAAAATGGTCCCTCGACTATGTTGATTTCACAAATTTCGTCCTACTCATTTTGACTTTGCTAATTGCATCCTTTAACTATCAAAATTTTAACCGTTTCAGTCTTCCAGTGACTTAAATGACAATTTTTAGGGGTATTATTGAAATTTCACTGTGCATTCGTCATTTTCATCATTGGACGACGACGTAGAAGCAGAAGACGACGTGAAATCCATGCTCAAACTCGTCGAGATATTCTACCTCCACGCCATCCACGTCACCAGCCCACTCTTCTAGGAGATGGTCGCCGTCGGCGCTGGCCTCCAGAACCACATCACCTGCCTTCTTGTCGACGGAATATTCACGTTCGCCGTCGATGTCGCTTGGGAAATCGGAGTCCCACTTCTCTATTTTGACACGATTAGTCCTTGTGGCCTTTGGACTTTTGGAGTTACATGCGTGTCTCTAAACTCATTGAAGCCGGAGAGCTTCTCTTCTGCTTATTGTCTGACGATGCTTCGTCGTTTGCTTCTACGTCGTCGTCCGAGGATGAAAATGGCGAATACACATTGAACTTCCAATAACACCCCTATAAATTTGCCGTCTAAGTTACCGGAGGACTAAAACGATTAAAATTTTGATAGTCGAAAGATGCAATTAGCAAAGTCAAATGAGTAGGACGAAATTGGTGAAATCAACATAGTTGAGAAACTATTTTGGTAATTTGCTCGATATTAAAAAAAGAAAAAATTAAAAGACCAAACTGTAGTGACACTTATATGCGTATTAGGAGAATTCTTTTTAATAGAAGGACTCACCGTGAAGACAAAAATCCAGTCTTTTCAGCATATTCTCTCTCATCTTTCTCTCTTATCCACATATGCATTAAAATCTGTAAAAATTATCTAAAATCCACTATTATGAATACTTTTACATGTTTATTGTTGGCCTAATTCATATGACAAAAAAACTCATATTTAAAAACTCATATTTGAATTCAACCATTACGACTGTTCTAAGCGGACCCATAATTAAATAAATCTTTAATTAGTCAATTATAATGCGGGTTACATCAATTTTTTAAATTAAAATGATTATATTATTATTATCTTTTATCTCAATTATAACGTTAAAAACCTTAATCCAAAAACAATCATATTATTATTCGTCCAACACTCCATTAACGGTGGGCATTCAGCCGACAGTGAATCTGTGCGTAGTATTCTCCGATCACCGTACGATGAATGATTAATACTGTCAAAACCTCTTGTTTCCAGTGGGCTCGTATGAATGAACCTTTTCTTTGAAAATCGACAGTTGTCAATTTGTCATACACACAAGATACCAAGAAACTTTTGTCGAAGATTGCAGATTGCGGATTGCAGATTGCAGATATTTATCCCAAAATATCTATCCTAGTGGATACTTATCTGTGTAATGGTATATATACAGAGAGAGAGGGGGGAGAGAGAGAAGATCTTTTCCTTTTCGAGCTAAGAGGTAAAGCGATCGGATTAGGACTGCCATTTCTGCGTGTTTGAGCTTCCAGGAAGGAGGAGGAGAAGAAAGTGAGAGATGAGTGGATTGAGTTGTCCATGGATTTCGGGAGCCTACGCTTCTTCCGTTCGATCCTTGTCCAAATTCCCTTCCAGAATTCATCATCTCTCGCCCAAGGAAATTGATGCCGGAGTCGGCGGCGGCGGCGGAGGCGGTGGTGGTTTCGCCGTCTTTTCCTGCTGTAAATCTCAGGCCGAATCCAATGAAGATCTCAAATTTCTGCTCCATGATTCCCTCGATCATTCCGGCATCGACACCGCCCACGCCCGTGTATGCTTTTCTCACTCTTAGCTCTTTTCATTTTCTCGATCACTGCGGATTATGATTCATACGCTCCCATTTTGTGTTGTTATCACCATTACTAGAAAGCTTTAATCTCATTGATTGGAAATGTGGGCGTTTTTAGGGTTAAGGCAATTGTTAGAAAAGTACCAAACTAAAAGCCCAGGATTGCCAATAAAACGAAGAATATAAGTTTACTGATGCATATTCCATCCAGTAAAGTGAGAACTTTCGAAAGATGCAATTTAAATTTGATGCTGACTGATTTGGTTTCTGGGATTCTATATCACTTATGTGCAGATGGCAAGGGAAGGGTTCTACTCACAGATACAAAAACTATCAGAAATTGAGAGAGAAACGAGCATTAGCATAAACAGGAGGGTTGATTTGGGGAAAGCAGCTCTGTATATAGCAGCTGAGGATGACTCGCTGATTTCACACTCTTCTGTTCCACTTCCAGTGGATGATTTCTTGGCGAGATTGGATGACCTTTCTATGGACTATTGTTCCCACTATGGCTCGTCCTTCAGGTCATCACCGGAAGAATTTCTTAAATGTTTAGACAGATACCTGTATATTGATAAAGTAAGTCTACTTGATTCGTATCATGTGATGTGAGGAGTGATGAGCATATAATATATAAACATAAATATGCAATCCAACTATCAGCTTAAGCTTTTAGTTGAAATGGAGCACATGTTTCAATTATCAGCTTTCTGTTCTTTTCACCGTCGTGATTTGTTTGGTAATTTCAGCATGTTGCAATCTTGTAGGGTTTTCGGAGGATGAGCAATCAAACAGAGCAACGGGCTCTTTATCTTCACTCGGTACGATTCTTTCTTTGCCTCTTCTCTCATTTAAGAGACTTTAACCTCCAAAGTTATTTTCGTAACGTTTCCTCTGTCCAGGTTTTGACTCATCGTGCAGGATCTGCTCCCTTGCTCTCGCTCATATACTCGGAGGTTTTGAAGATGCTTCGTTTGTGGGGTCTTTTAAATTTTGATGCCGAGGTTTTCTTCCCTCTCGATCATTATAGTTATCCTAGAGGTTATCCTAAGAAGAAAGGCAAAGAATCTGATCAATCTCATATCATGACTGCAGAGTCGTTGTTGGTGCAGGTAAATATTTCATTGAATGGCTAATGCTGTTTATGAATTTCTCCGTTTCTCGATTGAGATCTTATCTTGACATATCATCGATCTCTCCACCCGATTGTGGTTGATTTCCCACTCCGTTTATCTTATTTGTTTTAACTTATGTTTCTTCCACATGCACATACAGCTATTGAAAGATTTGAAAGTCGCTTTCTGGCCATTTCAACACGATCCTACTAGGAGTCCCTTTCTGAGGGCAGCGGATGCTGCTAACTGCTCCGAAAGAACTCAAAACACCAAAGAGAGGTGCCTCTCTCGCTCAACTATCTTCTGTTATAGCGTATAAGTCAATTTTGGCTTATTTGACCACTATTAGTTGTTTGACTTGGTTAAACAACTAATATAAGTGTTTGGTTAAATAGATTTTTGTAACAGCTTATTGTTCCAAAAGGCTAAAATTCTAAAAGCTGCTCAAAAGCAGCTTTTTCGATTAGCTTTTTGAGAAAGTTATTTTGCATATAATCAGCTATCAGCTAACAGCTAATTTACCAAACATCTTTCTACAATCAGCCAAAACTATCAATTTATCAAACTCACTAACCCAATCAGTTAATAGCTATCAGCCAACAACTATTTACCAAACACCCCCTATATATTTTGGTGCAACTTAAAGTTTATACTGCCTCAATGCAGTGCCTTGGAGCTGGCATCTGTTAAGGCTGCTCAGCATAGGCTGCAAAGGGGTGTTTGGACCAGTGTTCGTTTTGGGGATATGAGACGCGCACTCTCAGGTATATATGTGAACTCGATTGAGATTTTAGCATAATGTTTTCGGCTTCATGCTTGCTTGATCAATATTACTCCGTTCTCGTTTCTGCAGCATGTGAACGGCTTATCCTCCTAAAAACCGACCCCAAGGAAACGAGGGACTATGGCGTTCTTCTTTACCACTGTGGGTTTTACAAGGAATCACTCCAGTACCTTTCGCTATATCAGGATACGAAGGTATAATACCAATTATGGTTTCGGGTCACTTGAAGCTAGCTAGCATTATCTTCTGCCTAATTGATAGACCCATTTTTCGCCACTTCCACGCAGAATGAAGTAATCGATCCATCTGACAAGGAGGATGAAGCTGTGCAGAAATTAATGTTTCGCGTAAACTTGATCTTGATGGAGGAAGGCTGGTCTAGGCCTGCAGATAACGGAAGTCTCCTTCGCAACAACTCTGAACCCTGGTAATGTACAGCGTTATTCTCCGTCTTAGTTAATGAAGAAACACAACAAAAGTTTTTGTTCCTTCACAATCTACTATGTTATATAGCTTAGAAACTATAGTTATTCCTGTAGAAAAAAAGTGTAGTAGGAACTGAAGATCTGGACACATGGAAACAAATCACTGCAGTTTTTTTTGGTTCAAAATAAACAAATGATGGGTATTTCCTCGTGTTATAATATGAGATTGGACCAAAGTCACTCAACCCGGCAATAATACACATGATGAGCCAAACCAATCCAGTCAATTAGTTAGACTGTGGTCTTATAAACTTATATATTCTTCACACCTCAGGGAAACTTGTTAATGAAATAAAGGTCCGAGGAAACTTGTTAATGAAATGAAGGTCCGAGGTAGATGCCTATCTGCCGGAGGTGATATTGTGGTCGTCCGCCGCCGAGGCCTCCTCCGTCACGGCTGATTGCGGCGGCGTTATCAGCCCAATCATTTGGGGGTCGATCGAGATATGCCCAATCAATTGCATTTTTTAATGGTCGATCTTATACAAAAGTAATCAATATAGCGCATTTAAGTATTCATACCACAAATGAGGCCTTGCAAACATAGTTTTGGAGTGTGTATTCGATTAATCGAACTGAATTAACCAAGTTAATCGGTCAGGGCTTTGCATTCTATTAATCGGACAGTTAAAATACAGTTAACGAATTTCTTCAATTTGGTCGATTAATTGATTTTTTACTAAAGTTTTCACACCCTAAACCCTAGCTAGAATTTGGATTTGTTAAGTTGCACACTTACAACAAATGCAAGGAATGGGCAACCATAAAAATTATGAGGATATATTTTTAATGTTGTAAATATACAAGAATATTAATTGTATATATATACTATATAAAAATTATAGAGTTATACTATTAATATAATATGTATAAAATATAGAGTTATATGGAGATTGGAGCAAAAGATAAGAACTCACTTTGCGCTAGGGGTGGGCGTAATTCGAATTATCCGAACTAACATCCGAAATTCGAACCGAATTTTAAATTTTGGGTGAATCCAAATAGTTATCGGTTCGGATAGTTTAAATTTTGGTATATCCGAATATAAATTCGGTTCGAATATCGAGTGTTAAAAGTACTATCCGCATCCGACTCGAAATTCGAATTAACCGAAATTTTATTATAAATATTATATATATATATATATATATATATATATATATATATATATATATAGTTTTAAATGTATTTCATAATTAATAATATATTAATTTTAAAAAATCTATTGGTTAATTATTAGTATTTGTCTTATTTTTAGTTTGATACTATATGAAAAAATATAAATAATAAATAATAAAATCAATAAAAAGTTTCAAAATTGATAAAACAATATTTTGGGTATATCCAAATTAACCCGAAATAATTTCACCCCCGAACCGAACATATTCGAATTAAATTTGGTTTGAATATATCGGATGTCAAAAATTCACCCAAACTTTTTGGATATCTGAAATAAAATTCAGGTATCACCCGAATCGAACTGACTCCCACCCCTACTTTGCGCCAGAAGCTCTACAACAAATTCTAGAAGAAGACAGATTTGGTTTACCCGTGTGGCGCCAAGTTGAGAGCCTCTAGTTGTATTTTCTTTTAGGTATCCCCCTTCCAAACCATTCTAAAAAGATAAGAACTCACCTTTTTAACCAAAAAAAAAAAAAAACAAAAAAAAACAAAAAACAAAAAAAAAACACACAAAAAAGGTAAGGTTGCACGATTATTAGGTTATTTTTATACATGTAAGTTTTTGTTTTTGTTTGTTTATGACACATTTTCTTATATGTTTTGTATAATGCATTGTATATGCACACAATATTTATTAATAGCATTAATATGAATTTAGGTAAATTCTATAATATATTTTTCATAATTATAATTTATATTGTTATATTTATAATTAAAATTAAAATAATTACATTTAGAAATTAAAAATGGTATTTTAATTTTGTGTTATTAATATAAGTATATGTATGTATTTAATTTTTAAAAAAAATATTTATAAACACACATCTAGTTAATTTTATAATTTCATTTTTGGGGTAAAAGGAATATAAGAATTGAGATATTTTTTTTTTGAGTTAATTTTATGTTTTGTCCTAGATTTATAGGTGATAATCCACTTTTAGTCATTTTTTTATTAGAACATCAATTTTTTGTCTTAATATTATTGTGACATGATCATTTTTTGTCCTTTATCAATAAAATAATTTAAATGTTGTTAAATATAGCAGGGCATTTTGATCTTCAATTATGGATTTCTTTTTTAAAAAATAAACATAAAAATATAGTGGGTCAACTTACTTTGTATAAAAAAAAGATCTAAATGTCCTTGTATTTAACAACATTTCAAAGGTTTTGTTACAGATGATAAAAATGGTCATGTCAGATTAATACTAGGATACCGAAAATGAAATTAACTCAGTTTTTTCCTTCATAAATCATAATTCATATTTGGTTTTTCATTTAATCATAAAGAACAATCAAGGCAAAAAAGGAAACAAGTACACATACAATTAATGTATTTCAAACGAACAAAATTACCAAAAAATGATCAAAACAAGAGCAATAAATGGCATCAAATTGTGTAGATTTTTATGGCAAAACAATTAAGTATTTGACAAATTGACAATGCCACTTACCATCATTAAAACTCTATTAAATCAACCCGCGGGCCCACCCGTTTCATGGCACATCAATTAGTATCCGAAATCTTGGACTAAATATCTGATTTTGTTTCATTCAAATGATTTGTGACACACAACATTATCATCTTCCATATTTATCTATACATTTTCACTGATTTTAATGTAAATAATCTTGCAAAGTTATAATACGGAGTACGTTTTATAATATTTGGTATTACATATAATATGATCGGATAGTGAGGTTTAAACTTTTAATGGTGGAGAAAAATATTAAAAGAAATTAAATATTGTTCATACAAGTTTTGCTTAATGGTTCAGTAGACAGTATTTGAGAGAAGAGACACGTATACCAGCGTTTGGTTATATCTACTGAATTCTCTCAAATATTCTGTCTAGTCGGATGAGATTAGGGATTCAATTTTTTTTGGGAGAAGGAGATGAAATTAAAGGTCAACGCTATGAAAAATAGGACCAGTAACCAAAGAGAGAAATGCAGAAGCACGAAAACCTGAAAGGCGCATTTGGAAATATTTAAAAAAAGTCCCAAAAGTGAGATTCAGTCAGCAACTAGTCACGGATCCAGAGAATTAATAGTATCTCTGTCCTTCCAATTTTTGTTTTTTTCAATACCTACTCCTTATTGGATAAGCATATTAAATGTGGGTAGGCTCTAATTTCTTTTTTATGTTATAATTCTATCCATCAAATGATCAATTTAGATAAGATTCAAATCAAGAAGGTTAATTTCGAGTTGAACATAGAATTTTGTGGTTACTAAGCTAATGGTTTATTCGGGTAAGCTTTAATCTTTATGAATATGTGTAAGAACATGTTCATAGAAGTTAATTTCTGAGGAGAGTTGAACTTCTTTTGCATTAGGAGTTTCAGAAAGAATATGTTTTTAATGATCGATTGTGAGTTGGGTATTGTCTTTTTTCCCGTTGTATACTTGGAATTCAACCCAATCTTTATATGGCAACAAATCAAGCATGATTCACTGTTTCCTAGTTTTGTTCTTTTCAGTCTCATCCCCCATTCATACCAGATTGTCTCTGTCTTTCATCTTTTTACACTCTTTTTCTTGAATGCTTTGTGGGTTTTTCTTCTCTCCCTCTTGCTCCACTCTGTCAATCCGGGTACCCATTTTATCCAAAAAGGTAAAAATTTCAACTTTAATAATTTTGATCACACCTATGTTTCTGCTTTTTACACTTTTATCAATCTTAGGATCAGTAAATGTCATTTCTTGTTCTTCCCTTCCATTTTCTCAGCATTCTAAGGGCTTGATCATCTGTTGCTTTTAAGTTTTAATGTTTGATTCTTGATTGTCTTTTTTTTTTGAAAGGATTCTTGATTGTCTTTGATTGTGCCTGACATTAACTGTAATCTGAGGTTTTTTATTCTAGCAATGGTTACAACCTATTTGTTTGATGATAAATCACATTGGCTTACAGCTTCTTGCTGTTTTTAAGGTTTTCCTAAGAACTGATTGAATGTCAGGTGATGTGCTTTTCAGCCATACTAACTCGATCTTTGTATCGATAAATGTCAGCTTCGTTGTAAAATTAGTGCATTGTTCTTGCAGATTGAAGCTGCTGTTCGAAGCGATTAGCGTACTGCATATGTTCTGCTAGCCCGTGTTGCAGAAGTTAAGGTGGGATGGGGCGGGCAACAACGTTGTTTCTGGTGCTACTGTCGTTTGGGTTTTTTCTGGCGACTTATAATTTGATGATGACAATCGTCCACTACAAAATATATGGGTATGAGGAGTGGATCTTCAGTGGTTTGGGCAGCCAATCTCGTGGTGATCCAGTTCTGCAGATGCCCGAGAAACCGGGAGGCCCGGGAATGGGGAAACCGCGATTCCACATTGCTGTCACAGCTGAGAGCTCTCTTTATAGCAAATGGCAAAGTAGGATTATGTACTACTGGTACAAGAAACAGAAGGATTTGCCCGGATCAGAGATGGGGAAGTTCACGCGAATTCTCCATACTGGAGCGCCCGACAATCTGATGGATGAAATCCCGACATTCATCGTTGATCCCCTCCCAAAAGGCCTGGATTTGGTGAGTAGAATACTAGAATAGCATGATCATATTTCTGTCGATCTGTTTGTGTCACCTTAATTGAGGCATGTGCTCCATCTCAACTAAAAGTTTAAGCTGATAGTTGGATTGCACATTAATGGTTATATGCTCAACACGCCCCCTCACGTGTGCGGTGGGTTCCAAGCAACACGTGGACCGTAGTCGCTTATATGCTCAACAACCTTGTTTTAACCTCGTTTCAGGACTATGTTGTCCTAAACAGACCGTGGGCATTCGTGCAGTGGCTCGAGATAGCTACAATCGAAGAAGAGTGAGCTTTCGCTTGTTCATCCTAGATTGATTAATTGATTGATAGGTTTGATTCATATATAGTGATAATTACATACTAAATCCTAGTTTCTGTGCCATTTGCAGGTACATATTGATGGCAGAACCAGATCACATTTTCACAAGGCCTTTGCCTAATCTGGTTTTGGGGGACAACCCTGTTGGCTTCTCGTTCTTCTATATCGAACCATCTAAACACGAGAGAATCATGAGGAAGTTCTTCCCAGAAGAGAATGGCCCCATAACCAACATTGATCCAATCGGGAACTCTCCCGTTATCATCAAGAAGGCAAGTAAAAAAAATCTTCATAGTTCTGTCGAAACGAAAGATATGCCATAAGCCCATAATGGTTTTTCGTGTGACTTGTTTAGGATTTGCTGGTGGAAATCGCACCAACTTGGTTGAATGTTTCCGTGAGAATCAAATATGATCCCGAGGCTGATGAAACATTGGGCTGGGTTCAGGAAATGTGAGTGCAAGACAGACATATCTAACAACAACAATGCCCATTTTATTCTACTTATGATCTGAACTTGGTTGTGTGACAACCTTAATTTTTTCTTTTTTTATTTTTCGATGAATACAAGGTACGGTTATGCTGTAGCTTCTGCTCTGCATGGGGTGAAACATGTTCTCAGGAAAGATTTTATGATACAGGTTTTGATCCTAACCTCAGTACTCTTATAGTACACATACATTTATTTCTTCACGTCTTTTTGTCCTTTATGGTTTATGGTTCACAAGTGGTGAAATTACAGCCTCCATGGGATCTGGAAACCAGAAAAAAGTACATTCTGCATTTCACTTATGATTTGGACTACACCGCAAAGGTAAAATTAAAGCCCGTTCGTTTAAGCTGATAGTGAAACTGCCCGGTTCAAATAATGATGGCACCTTGTAAACTCGAGGTTTTCAGGGTGAGATGATGCCTTATGGGGTTACTGGATACTGGGAATTCAAAAAGAGAAACTATTTCTTTGCACCGCCTCCTCGAAACTTCTCATTGCCCCCTCCGGGGACACCAGAAAGCGTGGTATGTCTGTCGTGCCACCCATACGTTCTCTTCTTCTTCTTCTAGTCGCTCATTTGTGTGAGGAACTCTTTTTGCAGGTGACTCTCATCGAGATGATAAATGAAGCTACTGCTAACCTTCCTGATTGGGATTCGTTGCGGTGAGCTGCCATGAAGCTCGGGGTTTGAGATGCAAGGGAAGTGAAGTTTGTGATTGAGCTTAGTGCAGAAAGGAAAAGGAAAAAAGGAATGGGAATGGTATAGTGTAGTGTACACACAGCACAAGAAGTAGTGGAGTAGTTGGGCTGATGTGAAAATTTTGTGCAATTGAGTGGCAGATTGAGTGGTTTTGCATTTGATCATAACTTACACACCATGGGGGGAGCATATCATATAGCACCACAATTGCTCTGTGATGATATTGGCACTCACAATTCTATTTTTCTCCCTATTGGTCCCAACCACATTCCCTTTCTCTAATTTTCCTTGTGGTCTATACACTGGTACACATGATGTCCACCCATGGTGAACAAACATGTCATTCGCAAGACGAGATTTATCCAGACCATTTTTATTTTTTTAATTAATAAGAAGGGACAAAAGAAATTTTAAGAGACAGTTGATGTTGCAAATACGGTTGGGTCTACGGATACGATCAAGTTGTTGGGTCGAATCGTAGACGGATCCCTTTTAATGGTATACTTGTTGGTTTAAATGACAAACTTGAAATATGAAGACCAGAGGTTCCTGAGCTAAATACGGTTAAGTAGAAATGTCCAAAAGTCCCCTTCTCAAGTATTTAATGCAGTATTTATAGGAAGGTGAAGGGAGCACATGTCGATCTCCCGGCATGCGCGACACGTGATGCCTATGCACACGGGAGGTTCAAAGGTTGCACGGATTCCTCTACGTGTATCGAGATTCCTGACTCCCTCGTTCTTGCAGCCACCAGTGTAGGTTCAAGCAAAGGAATAAGGCTAAAGGCACCAAGTAGAGAGGGTCGAATGGTCTGCCCCGATCTAAGGGCCACCGAGTTCGGGCAAAGGAATAAGGCTAAAGGCACCAAGTAGAGAGGGTCGAGTGGTCTGCCCCAACCTAAAGTCGGGGTGAACCCAAGAGACGGTTAGGTACTAATGTTGATTGTGCCCTGCTCAATCTTAAAGTTAGGTCGGATCGGTGGGTTCTGAATCTTCTGATGTCAATAATGCTCGGGAATGATCCCTCTCAGTGATCTGATCGAATACCGAGCAAGTATGTGGCTCGTAAGGGAGAGGTATACCCGATGAGTATTCCCTATCAATAGTAATCTTTAATTGAGGAACACCCATAGCGTCCTCCATTAATTTATTTTATACTTTCTCAATTATTTTTCAATAGTACTATCTTGTGACAACCCATTTAAAATGACAATAGAAGTGTCATCACACTACGTAATAATTAGCTTATAAAATATAAGTTAAAACTTTTTTAAATACCATTCTCAAAATATATCTAAATATTTTTTGGAGAATTTTGACATGGAAACACTATTTTCGGAATTCCGATGCATCGTTGTTCTCTTCTATATATATATATATATATATATATATATATATATATATATATATATATATATATATATATATATATATATATATATATATATATATATATCAATCCTCAAGATCATTTTTTTTTCTTTTTTGAGAAAAAATAAAAAACACAGTGAAACTCAGTACCCTTAAACTCATACTGGTATTATTTAGCACTCGGACAGGGTGATTGTTACATGACGTTTGCATATGTTGCTGTAAGCATATTGCGGTCTAGTGCAATTGCAGGTGGTGTTCCAGTGTGGAAACAGTAACGTGAGCTGTCCTTTTTTTTAAAAAAAAAAAAATCTTTTATAGATGACGAGAATATTTATAGCCACTATCTGAAAGTGTGTAGAGAGTAAATCTCCTCCTATGATTATAGTCATCAAAGATTATAAAAATGTAAATGGTTGCTTATAATTTATCAATTCAAATCAAGAAAGTTAACATATGATTTCTATTGAGAGTCGAGCTTAAAACTTTATTATTAAAGATGTTCTTATTTTACCCATATATTCTCACTTTTTTTTTATATATTAATGTTACGAGTTTGGATTAATCTAATAAAGTGAATTGCAATTTGTGTTTGTTTTATGATTTAGTAATGATAGTGTGTCAAGGATCCTGTGGTCCAATGACACCAAGTTATTCCTTTATGTAGAAACTAAAAAGTAATTATGAATAAAATATGAGTTAATACCCAAAATCGTCCTTGACTATAGTGATTTTTCTCAATTTCGTCCTAAACGACTTTGGTGACCTAATATCGTCCCAGACTTTTATGTTTCGCTCAATTTCGTCTCATACTTTTGTGTTTTTGCTCAATTTAGTCCTTCATTTGTTATTCTATCCATTTGGTGTTAAATAAATAGACAATTAAGTAATTTTAATATTGACATCTCTTTACTCATAGACATGTGAACTGCGAAATCCTTTTTTTTTTTTACGAATTAGTCCCAGAATTACTCCTAAAACTGCAAATATAAAATTTAATTTGCAGGTCCGGGAGTAATTCGTACAAGAAAGAGGAATTTCGCACTTCACAAGTTGAAAGTAAAGAGAGATTAATATTGACATTACTGAATTGTCCCTAAATTTAACACCAATTTGACGGAATAACAAATGGAGGACTAAATTGAGCGAAACACAAAAGTCTGGGACGATACTAGATCACCAAAGTCGTTTAGGACGAAATTGAGAAAAACCACTATAGTCGATGACGATTTTGGGTATTAACTCAATAAAATATTAACTTATTGGACTACATAAATTTTAATTTTAAGAGCACACTTATTATTTTCTTATTTATCGAGATTTATTATGAAATGGTGGAACACACAAACCAAACAATTAATGTGATTGAGGAGACAATTTCCCGTGACCATGATAACAAAAAAGAATCTTGGGGTCAAAGAGTAGTAGTGGAGAAATGGCAACAAAAATGGGACAGCAACATAGATCAAAAGCCTGCACCCAAGTTCCAGAAATGTAGACTGCACTCTTCTATTATTTTACTGTCTTCCCACGGGACCCCATCATGCCATTTCCTTCCGCTTTCTTTCTTTAGTTATCTTTTTCATACACTTTTGTCTTATTTTTCTCTCAAAACGTTGAATCCCTAACCGCAAAACTTTTCATACCCTGACTTGACTGAATATTTGAGAGGATGTAAATCACGGTAACTTAATGGCTCAACAAACTAAACCAAATGCCGATACACACAAGTGATTTGACCATTGTTCGAATATTGATCTCTTCTCTTAAAATACTGCCTACTGAATCAACGAGTTAAGTCCGTGCGGACACACTTCTATCTTCATATTTACATATGAAGTTGGCTTTTTTTTGTGTTTTTTTTTCTCCACATATTCCATGTCCTTACTCCTTATATAAGTCTTATTCATTGGCCGGAGATGCTTTTCGGTAGGTGGGAGGCAAGTCAGCCTGAGACTCCGGGAAGTCTTCCGCCCAAATACTACACTTCCTCTAGCCTTGATCCCCTGGCCCCCAACATTTTAAAAAGAAAATTGTTATGTTCCTTATTGAATAATGTTCAATTTCTGGTAATAGAACTCTTTATATAAACATTGTTATTGTGTAACACCTCGCAAATCACACAAGAGATGTAAGACCTTGTGCGACAAGTTCGATTGAAAATGTGTTGGGAATAATTAAACTTGTAACATTTTAGTATGAGAATCATGATTCACCCTCAAATTAGGCATACCTATGTGTAAGATAAAAATAATACCCTGTACAATGCAATTTATACAATGACAATTTGAAATCTCGTAGTTACCAAGTCAACTGTCCAACCAATTTAGTTGGGTTGTTTCTAAGCCAATTTTTCCACTCAGTAAGAATCATTAGTTTTATATGGGTTTGAGAAAAGATCACAGGATCAAACCCACTTTGGGTTACAACTGATTGAAAAAGTATATTGAACAGAAACTACATTGTAATTGAGTCAATAGGAGTCCAAAAAATATTATTATATGATTTCTTATGTTTAATAACATCTGAACATTTATTTTTGTAAATAATTATAATTTAGACAAACTTAACACTAATGGAAACAATGATTGGAATATGAAAACACTAATTTGGTGATTGGCTGCACACTCACATGCAATTTACAACAGTGCCCTTTGTGTGATTGGCTAAATGCATGGGACAGGCTAGCTGATGAGGATATATAGTGGAAGACTTCTTGACTAAATCTGAGAGCTTATGAGCTTGATTGCACTTAACAATTATATTGCTCCCTTCCACTGGCTGCCCCCACCACCTCATATCCAAGATCTGATTCAATCTCTGAATATTTGGTAGATTTTGCAGTAAAATATTACCATTATATACATTATGCCACCTTAGGTAATGGCACCCAGATTTGTCCCTTCATTAATTTGTCATTTTTATAGCTTAAATCTCAACATCTTGCATGAATCCCCATGAGGCAGGGGCACCATCACATACTATATATTATATATATAATACACCAAATCTCGCTTATAATATTATTGATTGGGTTATAGGGCCACTCAATCGGTCCAATAACCAAAATAGTAACACACCAGTATCTCAAACTCAATAATTATCTTTTGAAAGAATATGCTTGAGCTCAACAAGTTGAGAAATCAAGCGGGAAACTTGTGTAAAATTGTCACAATTAGCTAGGTAACCTAGGCCTAGAAGATTTTGTCATAAGTTATTTTAACTACTTGACAAATTCACCCACCACTTAAGTGATCAACCGTGTGAGACAACCAAAAAGTGTCACATTAACTTACTTGCAATGTGTCATCATGACATAAACAACTTGAATTCAGTATAAGTATACACTAGTTTCTCATTCTAGATCATCCCAAATCTCATATCATATTCACTAATCGCTACTTACATTATTCCATCTATCAAACTAGAGCTATCCAACTTCTTAGTCTCACTAGTACTTAGTTCTCACACCTTCTATTTTAATACACCTTAATCCTATACCCACACAAAGGATAAATACTAGTGCCATAGGATTTCACCAAAACTAGAGAATAGTAGTAAATAATGTCTTCCTTGATTCATTAATAAACAAGTCAGAAAATACACTAAACACATTATAGTTTAGCCATATCACCTTATATTTTAAGTAAACCGTCACATATTCAATCTTAATTCCCTTGGATGCAATAGAAGAAAAAGGACAGGCCCATGAGGTGATATCATACTTCCGTTCAATGGAATACAGTCTGTAGTCTACAATAGCTGCACTTCTTTGCTTTACCCCATCCTCCCCGCGTGGAGTGTTTTCGCAAAAAGAAAGAAAATCACTCCACAAGTGGACAAATCTATACCGTTTTTCTCAATAGGATTTGAACCCCCACATTGTCTCTACATATTCATACTTCCCGAGGAGACCCTAGCTGGTAAAGGACCGTAAGAAGGTAAATCAATCTATAGTGCTCATAGCTGACCAGCTCAAATCAAGAATGATGAGATTCAAACGCGTGACCTTGTGGTTACAAGTTTGTATCTTTCACTAACTTGATTGGGGTTATCTTTCTTATCCCCTCTAGGTACTCATATTTGAGTGTATATAAGTAGGTTGTGTGACACTTGATAAACCATCAAAAATTAAAGAGCAAACCATGAAGAAGACTAACCTCTTCTTGACACTATTCCTTGCTGTTTTCTCTTTGGGAGTGGTAGCCCAAGGGCTGAACAACCCAAAATGCAAGGCTCAAGAAAAGGGATCCACCCTGCAAGTCCTCCATGTTTACAGCCCTTGCTCACCATTCAGGCCACCTAAATCTTCACTCTCATGGGAGGACACCGTGCTCCAAATGCAGACCAAGGACGAGGCGCGGCTGCTGTACCTGGACAGCCTCGTCGCCAAAAAATCCGTTGTGCCGATAGCCTCCGCCCGGCAGATTACCCAGAGCCCGACGTACATTGTCAGGGCTAACATCGGAACGCCGCCGCAGACCTTGCTGTTGGCCATGGATACTAGCAATGATGCTGCCTGGGTTCCTTGCTCTGGCTGCGTTGGCTGCCCTTCTTCTTCAGCCTTCTTTGATCAGTCCAAATCCACCACTTTCCAGGATGTTGCCTGTGGAGCTCCTCAGTGCAGCCAGGTTTAGCCAAATTTAAATTTCCAAGATTTTGTCTCGTCATAATCATAGCCCAATGACATTTTTTTTTCTCTGAGGACTTTTATCGAACATGTTGTATGCATTTAGGTGCCGAACCCCGCGTGTGAAGGTAACGTGTGTGGATTCAACCTCACCTACGGCGGTTCCACTATAGCGGCGAACCTCTCGCAAGACACGGTGACCTTCGCCGCCGACTCCGTCGCCGGATACACTTTCGGCTGCATTCTAAGGGCCACCGGAAGCTCAGTACCACCGCAGGGTCTGTTGGGCCTCGGCCGCGGTCCATTATCGCTACTGTCCCAAACCCAAAGCCTCTACCAGTCCACATTCTCATACTGCCTGCCGAATTACAAGTCTCCAAACTTCACCGGTTCGCTGCGACTCGGCCCGGTCGGCCAGCCCAAGCGCATTAAGTTCACCCCGTTGCTCAAAAACCCTCGCCGGCCGTCGTTGTACTACGTCAACTTGATCGGAATTAAAGTCGGCCGGGGACTAGTTAACATCCCTCCGGGTTCCTTCACCTTTGATCCGGCCACCGGCGCAGGGACCATCATTGATTCCGGTAAAGCATCAACCATCTCGTTCGTGTTCGTGCCCTAGATTTAGTTACTAAAATTTGAATTCCCCAAAACTCATGACTAAAATTGAACAATGATTAGGCACGGTGTTCACGCGGCTTGTCCAGCCGGCGTACGAAGCGGTCCGAGACGAATTCCGGCGGCGGATGGGGCCGAACGCGACGGTGTCGTCATTGGGCGGGTTCGACACGTGTTACACCGTCCCGGTAACGATACCGAGCTTAACGTTCATGTTCGCCGGGATGAACGTGACGCTGCCGCCGGACAACTTCCTCATCCACAGCTCCTCCGGCAGCACCACCTGCCTGGCCATGTCCGGCGCCCCCGCCCTCAACGTCATCGCCAACCTGCAGCAGCAGAACCACCGCATCCTGTTCGACATCCCAAACTCCAGGCTAGGCGTTGCCCGCGAACCTTGCAGCTAGAATTCCGGCCCGTTCTTCAATCAATTTACTAATTAATAATTATCTATAGTTAATTAGTGATTAATTAGCGGGCAATTAGTTGAGGAAACCTATGATCTTCGGTATGCAGTTCTTGGTCTTTTTGCGGTACACCTCTTTTGAGTGAGATAGATGACTTGGAGATTTAAGGTTGTTTCATACTCAAAGTCAAGGATCGAATCACTAACCTTTGATTAAGGATGAATGAGTCTCTTTCACTCAATCACGCTATCAAGGTTATAATCTTCAGTGTGTGATTACTAGTTGCTGGTCGACTGACCAAGAAAATTAGTAGTTTTCAGTGTTTGATTTCTAATTATTGGTCTATGGATAGAAAAAATTTGTAACATTTTTAGTGTGTGATTGCTAATTGATTGGTCGATAAAACTTATGATCGGACCAAAAATTAGCGAGGTGGTCACGGGCGCAAAAGAGCGTTGTGTCCCCTATGATGTGTTATTGTTTTTTGGGATTTTTTTTTTCTTGTCTTTTTGTTTGATTGATGATAATTCTGATTTCTTGTCAAATGTATGTGTGAATGTGTGAGGAATTGTGGGGTTTTTGTTGGGTTTTGTCTGCTGCCATTGATCCAATAGCGCTGATTAAGGTACCGAGTCACGGGTTGCAATTTCAGATCTGTTTTGTCATTTCAGTACTATTGAATATTTTATGAGAGTTTATTACAAAATATGTTTTATATATACTTTCCATTTTCAATATAACTTTCATAATTTGATACAAATTATTTATTATAATTTAAAGGAAAATTATCTAGTATGAATCAATAAAAATGCATGCATAGTATAATGTGTATTAACGGGAAATATATATATATATATATATATATATATATATATATATATATATATATATATATATATTACTTGGTACAACTTCAAAATCTTTTCAGAGCATAGTATAGTAGGTGTAGAAGGCACTGATATTTATCAGTAATTTGAAATTCTTTCATAAATTAAATATTTTAAGAATTTAAATTATAAATAATTTAAGTCAAATATCATTATATAATAGAACGAAAAAATATTTTAAAATGTTATAATGAAATATTGGAAATAGGACAAGCCCGACAGGCCCAACCCACCAAAAGGTTAGAGCAAACACTAGACCGTCGCGCCTCTCAAAACAACGTTGTTTTGAGAGGTGCGAAAGGGAGTCGACGTGATTATGTGTATTTATTTATATTATTATGTGTATTTGTTCATACAATTATGTATATTTTTTATACATTTATATGTGTTTGTTTATACAATTATGTGTATTTGTTTATACAATTATGTAAAATGACATCGTTTTGCATCAGGGCGCACAATACAATGCGCGCCCTGGTGCACGATATAAATTGCCCTGGACCATGAGCTAGGAGCAAGGAGCCCCATGTACATCAGTCGTTATATCGTGGACCGCGGTGCATAATCGATTATGCACTGCGCATCAAAACGGCGCCGCTTCTTTAAGTAAAGAAACGGCACGATGTTAGTGTTAATGGAGTGAAACTACAGTGTATCTAAACCGAAACTGCCTCACGTATTATTTTTATATTATCAAATGAAACCGGAGTTATATCAAAATGATACTGTAGTTGTGGTGAAATGAAACTGCAATATATATAAAATGAAACTGAATAACATTTCACATATTTTAGTGTATATTGTACAATGAAACTGTAATTATATCGAAATGATCATGTAGTTGTGTTTTAATTAAACTATAGTGTATATAAAATAAAATTAAATAACATTTTCACATATTTGAGTGTATAAATATTGAATGAAACTGTAGTTATATTGAAGTGAAAATGTAGTTGTGTGGAACTGAAACTGCAGTGTATACAAAATGAAACTGAAGAACAGAGTTATTTTTTGCGAAACGGCGCAAAACGGATTCTGTTTCTTTTCATAAAATAAAACGACGTCGTTTTGATGTGCTGTGCATAATCGATTATGCATCGCGGTGCACAATATAATTTGCCCATGTATATTGGCTCATAAGTCATACCTGTACAAAAAGTCTACGAGTACGAACACCACAAATTGAGCTGTGGAGCATAGTTCAAGATGGTGTTGTTTCTTTTAATGAAAAGAAATGGCACATGTCTCGTTCAATTAGTTTTGTTTGTATGACGTATTCGATTTCATTTTATATACATTGTAATTTCATTTCAACACAACTAAAGTATCATTTTTATATAACTACAGTTTCATTCGACAATATATACTCAATATGTGAGACATGTTATTCAATTTCATTTTATACATGTTGTAGTTTCATTTCAACACAACTAAAGTATTATTTTAATTCAACTACAGTTTCATTTGACAATATACACTCAATATATAAGACATGTTATGCAGTTTCGTTTTAGATACATTATAGTTTTATTACAGCACAACTAAAATATCATTATAATTCAATTACAATTTCATTTGATAATATACACTAAATATGTAAGACATATTATTCATTTCATTTTAAACATATTGTAGTATCATTTTATTTAAAACACATCATAAATACGAAATTTGTTAAATATAACGAGCGTCATTTCTTTACTTAAACAAACGATGTTGTTTTTAAACTATGGTCCACCATATAACAATTGTACGAACACGAGAAGGAGTGATTACGTTAGCCAATAGAAACCAAATGGAAAATGATATATGCCCCAAGGGAGTAAAACTCCCGCTACATGTCTTGATTTTATTGGAGAAAGATGAAAAGAAAGTAATAAAGGTCCACATTTTTTTGAATGAATCAAATGATGACTTGTAAGTAGGGAGTAGAAAATTGAGTATAATGTGGGAGTACATGTAGTACTACTCATATATATAGAGGGTGATGTTCTTATGAAACCATCCTTCCATGAGAACCAATCTAGTACATTAAAAAAAAAAAAAAAAGAAGATATATGGATGAGATCAATTGAGGGGGTCCAAAATTCGCGTGTTCATATTAGGCATGTGCTGTGTGCAATTGGGGGATTCAAAATTCACGTGTGCATATTAAATATGTGTTGTGCGCAATTGTGGGATTCAAAATTCGCGTGTGCATATCAAGCATGTGTTGTGTGCAACATATGTAGGATATGCACACAACACATGCCCATATGCACACGACACTAGAAGCGGAGCCAGAAATTTCATCCGGCGGGGGTGAAAGATTTAAACAAATGAGATATTTTGGAAGAAAAAGATTAAATACTAAATAATCAAGTATTAGAAGATTTGACCCTAAGACCTCTATTACAACACATGACATACATACTAAGCCATCTAAGCTAGCTATTTCCATTCATTTTTGAGTAATTTATATCTATATTATTTACTTATTTTTAATTGTATCTTTGCATTGAACTTGATTCCGAAGATGTCGTTGGAGTGATGAGTGAGAGAACTCAGTATGGGGTACCTCTCTTATCATGGATTACAAATTCCTTGTTAATTAGTACGACCGAGTAGTGTTCACTCATGTGATGAGGGAAGTGAACAAATGTGCGGACTATCTTGTTAATGTTGGGCAAACGGTCTCTTGGAGGACTAATATACAATCTTGGAAAATTCGCCTGACGAGATGAAAGAACTTCTTCAAGCTGATGCGTGAAGAACCAAGATTAGAAGAATTAGGTAGTAACTGCGGGGCGGTGTGTTTTCTCACAAAAAAAAAAAAAAAAAAAAAGATAAGAATTCGAATGGACCAATTTGTCACATCCAATCTCAATTAGGGATGCCAATATGATAATTAGTTGTGAGGTGTATAGACAATTGATGAGTAAACAATATGGTTAAAACCATTAAAGTAAATAATCATAGTTAAACCATCACAAACCAAAAATGTTAAAAGTTGAGAACAACTCTCTCTCTCTTTTTTTTTTTTTTTTTTGTTTTTTTTTTTTTTTTTTGTTTTTTTTACAGCATTATATATTCTCATTCCTGTAATACTAATTAGAATTTAAAGCGGGTCATGCCAACATTGTCCTTGCAAAAGTCTAACTAATGCATGCATCTACCTTAACCTCCTAAGTCAAACCCAAACACTTTAAAAAGTCAATGCATTACATACTTAAATACAAAGTTATAATATATATAAAATACTAAATTTACAATATTTCTTATGACAAAATAAATTCTTTAATTTAGTGTACAAAAATTGGTAAGATATAACGTATCATTTAATTAACCCCTCCATGCACATGGTAAATTTAGTTACTTTGTAATAAGTGCTTGACCAATAATATGTTAGTAAGAATCAAACTTGTAACCTTCATATATAAGAATTATACTCTACCTACTTGATCACACACTTCGGCTCTAATACTAGTCTCTAATTCACTCATGAGATTTATCACATTTCTGAGTAGTCAAGCTAATAAGCATCCCAATTATATATAGTTGAAGAAGCTGGAAATTAGGTTATATTATTAATCAATACCATGAAAAGAAATATATATGTTTCCAAATTGATGTTCAATTAGCTTACAAATATCATAATTGGTTGATAATGATGGGCCATTTATATGATCAAAAAGACCAATAATCCATGTTATTTTTTTGCCTAAGAAAAAAAAAAAGTGTTTTTTCTAGCAGCTCAGCTTCTTCCAATTCTGAGCGAAGGATCGACTCCCTTATTATTATTATTGGTGTTATTGTTGTTACTGGCAAGGCAACTGGCAAACAGTTTTGCGATCTCCAGCTGAGTGTTGGCGATGATCTCCGTCCTCTTCAGCTCCATTTCTCCCCTCTTCAGCTCCGCCTCCGCCCTCATTCTCTCCACCTCCCTCATCGCCTCCGTCCGCGCCTCCTCCGTCCTCGCCACCACCTCCGCCAGCAGCCTTATGCTCTCCGCCACCTCCCAGTTGCGGTCCCTCCCGCCGCCGAAGCCGCCGCCGCCGCCGCTCCGTTTTCTCCTCTTGTTCTTCATTCTCTCCGTCGATGATCTCAACTTGTTCGCTGCCGCCGCTTCTTTCGCCGCCTCCTCCTTCTCGTTCCTGTACAGCGCCGGCGTGCTGATGCTGTCCGTGTCCGTCGCCATGTTCTTCTCCGACGCCATGTTTTCCGATAACTTCTCTTGCATAACGTCCTCCTATCATAAAAGTATATATATAAAGTACCGGAAAGGAATTGGATGATGAAATTCAAGCAATTTACTATCTGAACCATGCATGCAATCAATTTGGCAGAGCTATGGAGTTTAATTTGTTCAAATTGTGATTATAATGATAAAAGAGGGAAAAAATTAGGGCTTCGAAGTTCGAACTGACCTTTGCTCCACGAATATAACCGTCGGAACCGTGGGAATGATGGCCGGCATTTGCCAAAGGGACAACCAGGGACGGCGGAGGAGCTGGCGGAGGAGGAGGCGGTGTAAGGAGAGGTGGTTCCGGCGCCATCATAAATGGCGCGTTAGCGACTCTGGAAGCGGGCTGCGGCGGCGGAGGAGGAGGAGGCGGGAGGTGCTGTTGCGGCGGAGGAGGAGGCGGCGGTGGCGGGGGAAGAAGAGGCGGCTGAGGCTGAGGCTGAGGCTGATGAGAGGGAGCATTCCCGCGGAGGAGGAGATCGAGGCGAGAATAAAGCGGCCACGACGAGGCGTCGGCGGCGGTGGCGGACTCCGACCGGTACCGCTTCTTCATCGA